AGACATGGCATTGAATTAAACACTGAAGGAATCTCCTCCTTAAATTTAGCTACAGCACTGTCAGATAGACATCTGCTGTAGGAAGTTTTGCCTAATGGCTTATAATCTAATAGTATGAATTCAAAAGTTATTAAATAATGGTCAGATAGGAAAGGATTATGTGGGAAGACTATTAAATGTTCAATATCAATGCCATATGATAGAACAAGGTCAAGAGTGTGATTAAAACAATGAGTTGGTTTATTTACACTCTGACAGAAGCCAATTGAGTCTATTAATGATATAAATGCATTATATTGAATGCATATATTATTACTATATATTATTACTATATATTATTACTGTATATTATTGCTGTATATAATTACTGTATATATTATTATATAATATTACTGTATATATTATTATATAATATTACTGTATATATTATTATATATTATTACTGTATATATTATTACTGTATGTTATTACTATATATTATTACTGTATATATTATTATATAATATTACTGTATACACTATTACTGTATATTACTATATATTATTACTGTATATATTATTATATATTATTACTGTATATACTATTACTGTATATTACTATATATTATTACTGTATATATTATTATATATTATTACTGTATATATTATTACTGTATATTACTATATATTATTACTGTATATATTATTACTGTATATTACTATATATTATTACTGTATATATTATTACTGTATATATTATTATATATTATTACTGTATATATTATTACTGTATATATTATTACTGTATATTACTATATATTATTACTGTATATATTATTACTGTATATTACTATATATTATTACTGTATATATTATTATATATTATTACTGTTTATATATTATTACTGTATATATTATTACTGTATATATTATTATATATTATTACTGTATATATTATTACTGTATATATTATTACTGTATATTACTATATATTATTACTGTATATATTATTATATATTATTACTGTATATATTATTACTGTATATTACTATATATTATTACTGTATATATTATAACAGTATAGAAGAGGAAGATGATGATGAAGAGGATGAAGGATTTGAGGCCTCCAGGTTCTGGTCTCTGTTCATGTGGATCCAGTATTTCGGTATTTTTCCTGATGTGAACATCTGCAGACTCTGGATGCTGGTCTCCATCCGGACTTCCGTCCCCCTCACCCCCCCCCGCGCTCTAATCACGGACTGACACTTACAGACACTTACAGTTGAACCCGGAACGGTCCCGGTCTCCGGTTGTCCTCGGTCAGTGAGTCGGTTCTCCGCCGCAGTCGGTCTCACCCGCCGGACGGAGAGCAGCGGCGGCCTGTCGCTAACAGCCGCAGCTGCGACGTCGCTGACGCGGAGCGGCAGAGCGGCAGAGCGGCAGAGCGGCAGAGCGGCAGGTCGCCGGCCGCAGTGGATGAGACGCTGCGACTCAGAGGACGCACGCGGCGGAGCGTGAGGATCCTCTCCGCGCTCTGATTGGCTGAGCGACTGCGCAGCCTGATCGGTGCCTCCACTCTGATTGGCTGACGGAAACTCAGCCGCCAAATGTCGCAAAGTGTCGTGAAGAGGACGGAGGCCGAGGGGTTTCAAACAGTTCGTGTTTTTATGATTATTTCGATATTGTTAAAGTGAGCTGTACGTACTGACTGTGTATTATAACTATTGTTTGTTTGTTTATTGTGTGTTGCAAATAACTCCTCCCTGCCTGTTTATCAGTTTACACACAACTATTGATCATATCAGCACACATTTACAATCCCTGTGGGATTCAATCAATATATATTTATATTAAATATTTAATCAGTTGATCATTTGAGCCAATGTTCATCTTTATGAACATTATTCAGACATTCAGCTTCATTCTTTTACAATTAAGATCGAAACACAATAAACAGCAATAAATGTCCACCAACAACAATTCTTTATATCTATATATAAATATATAACATATATAAATATATAACATATATAAATATATCTATATATAAATATATAAATAAATATATAAATATATAACATATATAAATATATAACATATATAAATATATAAATATATAACATATATAAATATATAAATATATAACATATATAAATATATCTATATATAAATAAATAAATAAATATATAAATATATAACATATATAAATATATAAATATATAACAAAAAATATATAAATATATAAATATATAACATATATAAATATATCTATATATAAATATATAAATAAATATATAAATATATAACATATATAACATATATAAATATATAACATATATAAATATATAAATATATAAATATATAAATATATAAATATATAACATATATAACATATATAAATATATAAATATATAACATATATAAATATATCTATATATAAATATATAAATAAATATATAAATATATAAATATATAACATATATAAATATATAACATATATAACATATATAAATATATAAATATATAACATATATAAATATATCTATATATAAATATATAAATAAATATATAAATATATAAATATATAACATATATAAATATATAAATATATAACATATATAAATATATATATAAATATATAACATATAAACTGAGATAAAAATCAACCTTTAAATAAACTAAATAATAATAATAATAATAATAATAATCATATTATTGATAATATTGTTAATAAGACATTAATACAGACAGCTGCAGTGAGTGTGAGCCACCAGCAGGGGGCGCTCTCCGACCTCACAGCTGCAGACAGGAGACGATTTGCAATGAATGCTGGGAAGTAAAAATAAGAGACTGAAACCCAAGAAAGGTCCAAACACACAAGAACCCTGAACTGATCACTTCTATTGATCACTTATAACGTCATGAGAGGAAGTCATTTCATTGTATTGATTAAAGTAGAGGATTATTTATTGATCAGTTATTATCCACATTCTTACTGTAACTGTAATCTGATTACTGCTCACAGTGATGTCACAGTGATGTCACAGCTGTTTATCAGCGCGGCCCTGCTGGAGGGTGTGACCTCATCAGTAAACAGGAAGTTTATCAGCAGTCTGTCTTCATATTATAATGTTTATAATTCTTTATGTTATTTATAATGATATCTTATAACTACAAACATAAACATATATAACTATACAGTTATTCCTGTACGAGTACCTGTGACGCACTTCAACTTCCTCCTCTTCCTCCTCTTCCTCCTCTTCCTCCTCTGAACAACAACTTCCTGTTTGTGTGTGTGTTACTGTGTTACTGTGTGTGTGTGTTACTGTGTGTGTGTGTGTTATTGTGTGTGTGTGTGTGTGTTACTGTGTGTGTGTGTGTGTGTGTGTGTGTGTGTCTGTGTGTTACTGTGTTACTGTGTGTGTGTGTGTTACTGTGTGTGTGTGTGTTACTGTGTGTGTGTGTTACTGTGTGTGTGTGTGTGTGTTATTGTGTGTGTGTGTGTGTGTGTTACTGTGTTACTGTGTGTGTGTGTTACTGTGTGTGTGTGTGTTACTGTGTGTGTGTGTTACTGTGTGTGTGTGTGTGTGTTATTGTGTGTGTGTGTGTGTGTGTTACTGTGTTACTGTGTGTGTTACTGTGTGTGTGTGTGTGTTACTGTGTGTGTGTGTGTGTTACTGTGTGTGTGTGTGTTACTGTGTGTGTGTTACTGTGTGTATGTGTTACTGTGTTAGTGTGTCTGTGTGTTACTGTGTGTGTGTGTGTGTGTTCTGTGTGTGTGTGTGTGTGTGTGTGTGTGTTATTGTGTTAGTGTGTCTGTGTGTGTTACTGTGTGTGTGTGTGTGTGTGTTACTGTGTGTGTGTGTGTGTGTGTGTGTTATTGTGTTAGTGTGTCTGTGTGTGTTACTGTGTTTGTGTGTGTGTGTTACTGTGTTAGTGTGTCTGTGTGTTACTGTGTGTGTGTGTGTGTGTTACTGTGTGTGTGTGTGTGTGTGTGTGTGTTATTGTGTTAGTGTGTCTGTGTGTGTTACTGTGTGTGTGTGTGTGTGTTACTGTGTGTGTGTGTTATTGTGTTACTGTGTGTGTGTTACTGTGTGTGTGTGTGTTACTGTGTGTGTGTTACTGTGTGTGTTACTGTGTGTGTGTGTTACTGTGTGTGTGTTACTGTGTGTGTGTGTGTTACTGTGTGTGTGTGTTATTGTGTTACTGTGTGTGTGTTACTGTGTGTGTGTGTGTTACTGTGTGTGTGTTACTGTGTGTGTGTGTTATTGTGTTACTGTGTGTGTGTTACTGTGTGTGTGTGTGTTACTGTGTGTGTTACTGTGTGTGTGTGTTACTGTGTGTGTGTGTTACTGTGTGTGTGTGTTATTGTGTGCGTGTTACTGTGTGTGTGTGTGTTACTGTGTGTGTTACTGTGTGTGTGTTACAGTGTGTGTGTGTGTGTGTTACTGTGTGTGTGTTACTGTGTGTGTGTGTGTTACTGTGTGTGTTACTGTGTGTGTGTGTTACTGTGTGTGTGTGTTAACTGTGTGTGTTACTGTGTGTGTGTGTTATTGTGTGCGTGTTACTGTGTGTGTGTGTGTTACTGTGTGTTACTGTGTGTGTGTTACAGTGTGTGTGTGTGTGTGTTATTGTGTGTGTGTTACTGTGTGTGTGTGTGTTATTGTGTGTGTGTTACTGTGTGTGTGTGTGTGTTACTGTGTGTGTGTTACTGTGTGTGTTACTGTGTGTGTGTTACAGTGTGTGTGTGTGTGTGTTATTGTGTGTGTGTTACTGTGTGTGTGTGTGTTATTGTGTGTGTGTTACTGTGTGTGTGTGTGTGTTACTGTGTGTGTGTTACTGTGTGTGGGTTATTGTGTTACTGTGTGTGTTACACTGTGTGTGTTATTGTGTGTGTGTGTGTGTGTGTGTTACTGTGTGTGTGTTATTGTGTTACTGTGTGTGTGTGTGTGTTACTGTGTGTGTGTGTGTATGACTCAGTTAAACATACAGGAAGCAGTGATGTCACAGACACAGTGGTGATGTCAGCATATTTTATTACTGATGACATCACAGCTATATATGACAGAAGCACCCCCCCCCCACCAAGTAAAATAAAAGTAAAATAAAAGTAAAATAAAAGAGCTTTAATAAAAGCACCAATCACTGCAGAGAACAGACTGCAGGCTGCTTCCACCCAAGGCATTCTGGGAAACAGAGTTCTTTTATTATTTGTATCATATAAGCGCCGCCTGTGAGACTAATGTCTAAACACTACTGAGCATGTGCAAACATCAAGAGGAAGTGATGCAAGCAGCCTGCAGTCTGGACAGGAAGTGGATCTCTGTAGTTTCACAGGAAAAAACCAACAAAGAAGAAAATGAATATTGTGTTAAATGAAGTGATCATTAATCATTAAAATAAAGTCGTTATATAATATTATAATTAGCTTTAACTCCGCCCACTCTACCCTGTCCCCTCAGGCTCCGCCCCCTCCCCTCCCATCAGGATCAGCCGGTGAAATGCATTCTGGGATTTGACAGCCAATGGGTTGTAAATATAATTATTGTTTCTCAACAATAATCAATTAATTCTGATATTAATAACTAATCAATAATCTAAACAGCTCTGTTCAATTCATCAGTCACAGCTGACATCACTGTCGTCATGACGACCACTGGGTTGGAGGCCGTCCATCAGACTGCCAGTGGAGCTGTTGATCGGTGGGTATTGATCCTGATCGGAGGAGAGCGGCGGGCAGCGGCTCAGCTTAGTGATGTCACAGGAAGGCGGCGGCGGTTATATTGATCGTGTGCGCTGATCAGCGATAAAGTGACTCCCAGAGGAGAGAAGAAGAACTATCCACCACCATCATCTTCATCTTCATCATCTTCATCACATCTGGAAGGAAAACAGATCAGAGAGGAAACTGATTATTGATAACCATCAATGAAATCCCTCAGACAGCACATCTGATCACAGAAACGTTCCCATGATCCTCCTTGTTCTCAGAGAGCTGGCTAACTGCACTCACCTGTTCAGGAGCCTTCTGCAGCCATTTGTCTTTGTCTCCGCCCACCTTCATACACGAGAACAGGTCACAGACAGTGGGCAACGCCAAGCGCTCCTACGCACAGGAAGTACACGGTCACACCTCATACTGGTCTGTACTGGTCTGTACTGGTCTGTACTGGTCTGGACTTTTTTCAATTCAATTAAATTTTATTTGTATAGCACCAATTCATAACAGAAGTTATCTCAGGACACTTTTCAAATAGAGCAGGTCTAGACCGAACTCTTTATAACATTAATTACAGAGACCCAACAGTACCACCATGAGCAAGACCTTGGAGACAAGGGCAAGGAAAAACTGCCTGTTAAAAGGCAGAAACCTAGGACAGATCCTCCGGCTCTAGGTGGGTGGTCGTCTGTCTCGACCAGTTGGGGTGAGAGAGAGAGAGAGAGAGAGAGAGAGAGAGAGAGAGAGAGAGAGAGAGAGACAGACAGACAGACAGAGAGAGACAGACAGACAGAGAGAGACAGAGAGAGAGAGAGACAGAAGAGAGAGACAGACAGACAGAGAGAGACAGACAGACAGAGAGAGACAGAGAGAGAGAGAGACAGAGAGAGACAGACAGACAGAGAGAGACAGAGAGAGAGAGAGAGAGAGAGAGAGAGAGAGAGAGACGAGAGAGAGACAGAGAGAGACAGAGAGAGAGGGAGAGAGAGAGAGAGACAGAGAGAGAGAGACAGAGAGAGAGAGAGACAGAGGAGAGGGAGAGAAGAGGAGACAGACAGAGAGAGACAGAGAGAGACAGAGAGAGAGAGAGACAGAGAGAGGGAGAGACAGACAGTCACACACACACACACACACACACACACACGTGCACAGCAACAACAGTAGCAACAACTACACTAATAGTAGTGACTGATGATGATGATCATGACAACAGCAATGATTGGGGACAATGAGCAGTGACAGTGGTCTGTAGTGGTCTCAGTGGCCTGTAGTGGTCTGTAGTGGTCTGTAGTGGTCTCAGTGGTCTGTAGTGGTCTGTAGTGGTCTCAGTGGTCCTGTTACCTGAGCCTGACTCCTCTTCTTTAGCAACCATTTGTCCTCCTCTGCTGCTGGCTGACCTCCTGACCCCAGAGCAGGAGGGGACGTCTGTCCTGGAAGCACCCAGAGTTCTGGATCCAGAGGGCGCTGGAATAGGGAGGAGGAGGAGGAGGAGGAGGAGGGCGGCTTGAACTGGGAGCTGTGCTCTTCCCTGCTGGCCTTCTCCTCCTCTGGAGCCACCCAGGCTGAGAGGGAGGAGCTGAGAGTCCTGCAGGAGGAGGTGTTGGTGGGGTGGAGCCAGGCCTCCAGAATGGCCTGAACCTGAGGAGACAGAGACCACACGATCAGCTGACGACCAGCTGACGATCAGCTAACGACCAGCTGACGATCAGCTGACGATCAGCTGACGACCAGCTGACGATCAGCTAACGACCAGCTGACGATCAGCTGACGATCAGCTGACGACCAGCTGACGACCAGCTGACGACCAGCTAACGACCAGCTGACGACCAGCTAACGATCAGCTGACGATCAGCTGACGACCAGCTAACGACAAGCTGACGATCAGCTGACGACCAGCTAACGACCAGCTGACGATCAGCTGACGACCAGCTAACGACAAGCTGACGATCAGCTGACGACCAGCTAACGACCAGCTGACGACCAGCTGACGACCAGCTGACGATCAGCTAACGACCAGCTGACGATCAGCTGACGATCAGCTGACGATCAGCTGACGACCAGCTGACGATCAGCTGACGACCAACGTCTGTAAATGAAGCAGGAGGACAGACGCTCACCTTCTGTTCCTGCTCCCTGAGGTGCAGCGTGGGCGGGGCCATCTTTACAGGAGGTGGGGCATTCTTGTTAGTGGGCGGGGCTACAGGGACTCCGTTCTTGTCCCGTCCGTCCTGTCGGAGCAGCCAGAGGCTCAGAGCTTCCTTCCCACAGTTGTCATCGCAGACGCAGGCGGAGTAGGAGGAGCAGACCTCGTTGGCTCTGCAGGTCTGCTGCACCGGGACCACCTGCTGCAGCCACGCCTCCAGGGATGCCGGGGGAACGGGGGAGGCGGGGCTGGAGGCGGGGCTGGAGGCAGAGCTGGAGGCGGGGCTGGAGGCGGGCGGGGTCTTCAGGCACTTGAGCTGGCCCAGATTCTCGATCTCCACGGCCTTGGTGGTCTGGCAGCAGGAGGAGCAGTCAGCTGAGGGACGGCTCGACCCCACCAGCCAATCGCTGGATGACCAGCCGTCCTCGAACGGCTTCAACACCCGCCGCCACCGCTCGGCGTCTGACATGGTCTCCATAGCAACTGCGTGCGGGGTGATGAGCCAGTCGCTCAGCTCCTCGTCCTCAGGAGAGACGGCGAACTCTGATTCGTCGATCTTCTCGATGGAGAAGGAGGAGCTGCAGCTGCTGTTGGTCCTCTCCCTGCTGACGGGGGTCTGGTCCTGGAGGAGCCACGCCTCCAGGTCCCTGAGCTGGCCCCAGGCCTGCAGGAAGTCCACCGAGGCCAGGATGGGACAGGAACTCTGAGACAAACAGAAACAACAACAGGGCCGTTTGATTGACTGCTGGCAGCTAGCTTCATCCAGACTCACGTTAGCGTGCTTGCTCACTGACAGGTGTTTGTTTACGTTTGTTTACGTTTGTTTACGTTTGTTTACCACGGTCTTCTCTCTCACCTTGCACTCCTTGTGTGACATGAGCCAATCCTGAGGGTTCTTGCTGCACTGGTAGCCAATAGGAGCGCTGCTAGCTGGAGGAGTTCCCAGCAGCCAGTCTCCCAGAGCGCCGGCCTCCATCTTCTGCACAGAGAACCAAAGACACACATCAACCAGTGACTGACCCCGCCCCCAAAGCCAAATCATCTGGACCCCGCCCCTCCAGGTGTGCAGGTGGGTGGAGTTACCTGTTTCTTGGCAGTGATTGGACAGCTCTGCAACTGACTACTCTGGTGGGCGGGGCTCTGAGAGGACACACCCTCCACAAGCTGCAAACAGGAAGTACAGAAAACACCTGATCGGCTTGATGTCCTCATACACAACGTGTGTGTGTGTGTGTGTGTGTGTGTGTGTGTGTGTGTGTGTGTGTGTGTGTGTGTGTGTGTGAGAGAGAGAGAGTGTAAGTGAGTGTGTGTGTGTGTATTACTGTGTGTGTGTGTGTGTATGTATATATTACTGTGTGTGTGTGTGTGTGTGTGTGTGTGTGTGTGTGTGTGTGTGTGTGTGTGTGAGAGAGAGAGAGAGAGTAAGTGATAGTGTGTGTGTGTATTACTGTGTGTGTGTGTATTACTGTGTGTGTGTGTATGTATATATTACTGTGTGTGTGTGTGTGTATATATTACTGTGTGTGTGTGTGTGTATATATTACTGTGTGTGTGTGTGTGTGTGTGTGTGTGTGTATATATTACTGTGTGTGTGTGTGTGTGTATATATTACTGTGTGTGTGTGTGTGTATATATTACTGTGTGTGTGTGTATATATTACTGTGTGTGTGTGTGTGTATATTACTGTGTGTGTGTGTGTATATATTACTGTGTGTGTGTGTGTGTATATATTACTGTGTGTGTGTGTGTGTGTGTGTGTATATATTACTGTGTGTGTGTGTGTGTGTGTGTATATATTACTGTGTGTGTGTGTGTGTATATATTACTGTGTGTGTGTGTGTGTATATATTACTGTGTGTGTGTGTGTGTGTGTATATATTACTGTGTGTGTGTGTGTATATATTACTGTGTGTGTGTGTGTATATATATTACTGTGTGTGTGTGTGTATATATTACTGTGTGTGTGTGTGTATATATTACTGTGTGTGTGTGTGTGTGTGTATATATATTACTGTGTGTGTGTGTGTATATATATTACTGTGTGTGTGTGTGTGTGTGTATATATTACTGTGTGTGTGTGTGTGTGTATATATTACTGTGTGTGTGTGTGTGTGTATATATTACTGTGTGTGTGTATATATTACTGTGTGTGTATATATATTACTGTGTGTGTATATATATTACTGTGTGTGTATATATATTACTGTGTGTGTGTGTGTGTATATATTACTTGTGTGTGTGTATATATTACTGTGTGTGTGTGTGTGTGTGTATATATTACTGTGTGTGTGTGTGTGTGTATATATTACTGTGTGTGTGTGTATATATTACTGTGTGTGTATATATATTACTGTGTGTGTATATATATTACGTGTGTGTGTGTGTGTATATATTACTTGTGTGTGTGTATATATTACTGTGTGTGTATATATATTACTGTGTGTGTGTGTGTGTATATATTACTGTGTGTGTGTGTGTGTGTATATATTACTGTGTGTGTGTGTATATATTACTGTGTGTGTATATATATTACTGTGTGTGTGTGTGTGTATATATTACTGTGTGTGTGTGTGTGTGTATATATTACTGTGTGTGTGTGTGTGTGTGTATATATTACTTGTGTATATATATTACTGTGTGTGTGTGTGTGTGTATATATTACTGTGTGTGTGTGTGTGTGTATATATTACTGTGTGTGTGTGTATATATTACTGTGTGTGTGTGTGTGTGTGTTACCTGAGCTGTGACGCTGCCGAACGAGGTGATGGCCTGCCTCAGAGAGCGAGTGTCGGCGTGGAAACTCATCTCAGGTGTTTCCTCTGGGGTCAGACTGAGAGAGGACAACCTGCAGGTACAGGAGGAGAAAACAAACACACCCACAGTTACAGCAGCTCCTCCTGAGAGCTGTTTGCTTCCTCATATTGACCTTTGCTGTAAAAACAGGAAGTAGACAGGGAATTATTGATTGGCTTTTACAGTGGTTGATAGCAGCTAGCACTATGAGCTAGCATCAGTATCCTTCCAGTGAACGCAGCCGGACCCGGGACCGAACACAATCTCAGTCTGACTGAGCACCGAGGGGGTTTTCTGGCCGGGTTTGGCTCCTGCGTCCCGAGGTTGAGTCAGTTAGCTTAGCTGCAGGGATGAACGAGCTAATGGCAGTTAGCAGTTGGCTACTGATCAATCTGTCAATCAGGAAACTCTGTAAATCACAAAGAGTTGAAGCTGAGCAGCCGGAGGACGTCAGAGGGAAAATATAATATAATCCTGTTTCATCAAAGTCACTGAATACTTTTATAAAGTAGTGCTAACTAGCTAATGTAGCTCTGCAGTAGGTGTTTGTACTCAGTGAGGTCATAGGTTGTCTGTAACGGCGGCGTCCGAAGAGAGACAGCGTTTGATTGGACGCAGCATTAGTAAACGCCCCCGAGTGCAGGATGGGTCTGAGATAAAAACATGTGATTAATGTGCTGATTCATCCTGATACTCAGTTGAACATGTCAGAGCAGAGTTAATTATCTTCAGACACACTGTCATCAAACACCACAAACACTCATTGTGTGTGTGAGTCAGCGTCTTATTTACTTCTCCATGCAGCTGGTCAGCTGGTTGCTCAGGTCGTTGCTGCTGTTGGAGTTCTGCAACTGATGGAAGATCACATCAAACTGACCTCGGAGCTGAAACACAGTAAACACACAGTAAACACACAGTAAACACACAGTAAACACACAGTAGACACACAGTAGACACACAGTAAACACACAGTAAACACACAGTAAACACAGTAAACACACAGTAAACACACAGTAGACACACAGTAGACACACAGTAGACACACAGTAGACACACAGTAGACACACAGTAAAGTAACACACAGTAAAGTAAACACACAGTAGACACAGCAAACACACAGTAGACACACAGTAGACACACAGTAAACACACAGTAGACACACAGTAAACACACAGTAGACACACAGTAAACACACAGTAACACACAGTAGACACACAGTAGACACACAGTAGACACACAGTACACACAGTAGACACACAGTAAACACACAGTAAGCACACAGTAGACACACAGTAGACACCAGCAGAGAGAGAGACCAGCAGAGAGAGAGACCAGCAGAGAGAGAGACCAGCAGAGAGAGAGACCAGCAGAGAGAGAGACCAGCAGAGAGAGAGACCAGCAGAGAGAGAGAACAGCAGAGAGAGAGACCAGCAGAGAGAGAGACCAGCAGAGAGAGAGACCAGCAGAGAGAGAGACCTACCCAGTGCAGCTGGTGCAGTTGTTGCTGCAGGGTCTCGGTCTTCAGTTGTTCCAGCAGGTCGATCTGACCCAGCAGCCAAACCTCTCTGCAGCGCAGCGCCTCCTGCTGGCGACTCACACAGCTCTGCAGCTCGGCACGCACCTGAGACACAGACAGGTCAGAGACACGGAGAGAGAGACAGACAGGTACAGGTCAGAGAGAGAGAGACAGAGTTTGCTGTTACTGGACAAACACACAGACACATCAACTCCAGAGTTCGGGCCCATTAAAGAAAATAAACTGATTAATCAATAACGTTGTCACATCACACATCAGCTGATCAATCAGCACGTGAAACCTTCTGTTTGATATTGACCAACAGAGAAACATTACCTGAAGCTGCAGAGCAACACTGACGGAGAACCAACAGAACCAACAGAACCAACTGTTCTCAGTCCGTCAGTGATAGAAACCCATCTCTCTCTCTGCACTCTTTTATATGCTCACTCTACCAGCTCCACCTCCACACACACACACACACACACACACACACACACACACACACACACACACACACACAGTAACACTGCGACCTAATCTGTCTGTCACACACACACACACACACAAACACGCGGCACACACGCAGCACACGCACACACAGGAGGACTTAAAGTCAGCAGCACTGTGTGATGATGTCAGAGGACAGATGGAGGTCGCTGATTGGTCGAACATTCACCATCAAATAACCATCAATAGGTCCGTGATTGATTACTGATTAATGGCTGTCAGTCTCAGTGATGGTCAGGTGACTCAGCGAGTGGATGTCAGACAGGCGAGTTAATCAATAACTTTATTGTCTTTATATCTGAACTCTGGAGGAGGAGGAAGAAGAGGAGGAAGAGGAGGAAGAGGAAGAAGAGGAAGAAGAGAGGAGGAAGAGGAGGAGGAGGAAGAAGAGGAAGAGGAAGAAGAGGAGGAAGAGGAGGAGGAGGAAGAGGAAGAAGAGGAAGAAGAGAGGAGGAAGAGGAGGAGGAGGAAGAAGAGGAAGAGGAAGAAGAGGAAGAAGAGGAGGAGGAGGATGAAGAGGAAGATGAAGAAGAGGAAGAAGAGGAAGAGGAAGAAGAGGAAGAAGAGGAGGAAGAGGAGGAAGAGGAAGAAGAGGAAGAAGAGAGGAGGAAGAGGAGGAGGAGGAAGAAGAGGAAGATGAAGAAGAGGAAGAAGAGGAGGAGGAGGATGAAGAGGAAGATGAAGAAGAGGAAGGAGGAGGAGGAGGAAGAAGAGGAAGATGAAGAAGAGGAAGAAGAGGAAGAAGAGGAGGAGGATGAAGAGGAAGAAGATGAAGAGGAAGAAGAGGAAGGGGCACTAACCTCTCTGGCGTTCTCCCTCAGCTGTTGCTCCGCCCTCATCACGCCGTCGATGGCGTCCTCCAGCTGATCCTGAGCCTGTCGGCACTGCTTCACTCCGCCTGCTGCCAACTCCACCGGCGCCATCCTGGACAGGAAACAGGAAGTACACACCGTCAAAATAAAACAGACTTATCAGTTTTTATTCAGTTCTTATTGTTTAAATTGAGGATTAGACCCAATATAGAAGTTATTGATCTGATACACAGTACATTATTGATCAGCAGCAGAGCAGGGAGGAATCCACCGTAAAGATAATGTACACACACGCACCCCCCACACACACAGACACACACACCCCCACACACCCCCCACACACACAGACAGACAGACAGACAGACAGACACACACAGACAGACAGACAGACACACCCCCCCCCCCACACACACAGACAGACACACACACAGACACACACACCCCCCACACACACACAGACAGACACACAGACCCACACACACAGACAGACAGACCCACACAGACACACAGACAGACAGACACCCCCCCCCCACACACACAGACAGACACACACACAGACACACACACCCCCCCACACACACAGACAGACACACAGACAGACACACAGACAGACACACCCCCCCACACACAGACAGACACACACACAGACACACACACCCCCCCACACACAGACAGACACACAGACAGACACACAGACAGACACACAGACAGACACACCCCCCCCACACACACAGACAGACACACACACAGACACACACACCCCCCACACACACAGACACACACACCCCCCACACCCCCCCACACACACACAGACAGACAGACCCACACACAGACAGACACCCCCCCCCCACACACAGACAGACACACACACACACACAGACACACACACCCCCACACCCCCCACACACAGACAGACACACACACAGACACGCACACACACACACCCCCACACACACAGACACACACACACACACACACACCCCCCACACAGACAGACAGACAGACAGACAGACAGACAGACAGACAGACAGACAGACAGACAGACAGACAGACAGACAGACAGACAGACAGACAGACAGACACACACACACACACACACACACACACACAGGGATAAAGTGTGTTGAGACAAACAGAGCAGCGGTCGCACTGACAGCAGCACAGGGATTATTGATTAATGCAGTGATCAGTATCTGTTGTTCAGGGGATAAAAACAGGCTGACACACGGCTGAGTCCTTCTACTGGTTTCTATTGTTGTCTCACTGACTGTCTCACTGACTGTCTCACTGACTGAAAACAGCCCAACCACTAATCTGTTTTTACACACAGCTGCTGGAACCACACAGTACCTACAGTACCTACAGTACCTACAGTAATACAGTACCTACAGTACCTACAGTACCTACAGTAATACAGTACCTACAGTACCTACAGTACCTACAGTACCTACAGTAATACAGTACCTACAGTAATACAGTACCTACAGTAACCTACGTAATACAGTACCTACAGTAGTACAGTACCTACAGTAACTAGTACCTACTGTACCTACATGTACCTACAGTAGTACAGTAGTACGTAGCTACAGTAGTACAGTACCTACAGTAGGTACAGTACTACAGTACTACAGTACTACAGTAGGTACTGTATTACAGTACCTACAGTACCTACAGTAGTACAGTACCTACTGTATTACAGTACCTACAGTAGGTACTGTATTAGTGCCTACAGTAGTACTGTATACTGTATTACTGTAGGTACTGTATTACTGTACTACTGTACTACTGTAGGTACCTGTACTACTGTAGTTACTGTAGGTACTGTACTACTGTAGGTACTTTTACTGTAGTACTGTAGGTACTGTAGGTACTGTATTACTGTAGGTACTGCATTACTGTAGGTACTGTATTACTGTAGGTACTGTACTACTGTAGGTACTGTAGGTACTGTACTACTGTAGGTACTGTAGGTACTGTATTACTGTAGGTACTGTAGGTACTGTAGGTACTGTATTACTGTAGGTACTGTAGGTACTGTATTACTGTATTACTGTAGGTACTGTAGGTACTGTATTACTGTATTACTGTAGGTACTGTAGGTACTGTACTACTGTAGGTACTGTAGGTACTGTACTACTGTAGGTACTGTATTACTGTAGGTACTGTACTACTGTAGGTACTGTAGGTACTGTAGGTACTGTATTACTGTAGGTACTGTAGGTACTGTATTACTGTACTACTGTAGGTACTGTATTACTGTACTACTGTAGGTACTGTAGGTACTGTAGGTACTGTATTACTGTACTACTGTATTACTGTATTACTGTACTACTGTACTACTGTATTACTGTATTACTGTAGGTACTGTACTACTGTAGGTACTTACTACTGTAGGTACTGTACTACTGTAGGTACTGTATTACTGTAGGTACTGTATTACTGTAGGTACTGTAGGTACTGTATTACTGTAGGTACTGTAGTTACTGTACTACTGTAGGTACTGTATTACTGTAGGTACTGTAGGTACTGTATTACTGTAGGTACTGTATTACTGTAGGTACTGTAGGTACTGTATTACTGTATTACTGTAGGTACTGTATTACTGTAGGTACTGTATTACTGTAGGTACTGTAGGTACTGTATTACTGTAGGTACTGTATTACTGTAGGTACTGTAGTTACTGTATTACTGTAGGTACTGTAGGTACTGTATTACTGTAGGTACTGTATTACTGTAGGTACTGTATTACTGTAGGTACTGTAGGTACTGTATTACTGTAGGTACTGTATTACTGTAGGTACTGTATTACTGTATTACTGTAGGTACTGTAGGTACTGTGTTACTGTAGGTACTGTAGGTACTGTATTACTGTAGGTACTGTATTACTGTAGGTACTGTATTACTGTAGGTACTGTAGATACTGTATTACTGTAGGTACTGTAGGTACTGTATTACTGTATTACTGTAGATACTGTATTACTGTAGGTACTGTATTACTGTAGGTACTGTATTACTGTAGGTACTGTAGATACTGTATTACTGTAGGTACTGTAGGTACTGTATTACTGTAGGTACTGTAGGTACTGTATTACTGTAGGTACTGTAGGTACTGTAGGTACTGTGTTACTGTAGGTACTGTAGGTACTGTATTACTGTAGGTACTGTAGGTACTGTATTACTGTAGGTACTGTAGGTACTGTATTACTGTAGGTACTGTAGTACTGTAGGTACTGTACTACTGTAGGTACTGTACTACTGTAGGTACTGTATTACTGTAGGTACTGTAGGTACTGTATTACTGTAGGTACTGTATTACTGTAGGTACTGTAGGTACTGTATTACTGTAGGTACTGTAGGTACTGTATTACTGTATTACTGTAGGTACTGTAGGTACTGTATTACTGTATTACTGTAGGTACTGTAGGTACTGTAGTACTGTATTACTGTACTACTGTATTACTGTAGGTACTGTATTACTGTACTACTGTATTACTGTAGGTATTGTAGGTACTGTATTACTGTACTACTGTATTACTGTACTACTGTACTACTGTATTACTGTATTACTGTACTACTGTACTACTGTATTACTGTAGGTACTGTACTACTGTAGGTACTGTAGGTACTGTATTACTGTAGGTACTGTAGGTACTGTACTACTGTAGGTACTGTATTACTGTATTACTGTACTACTGTATTACTGTAGGTACTGTATTACTGTAGGTACTGTACTACTGTAGGTACTGTATTACTGTAGGTACTGTATTACTGTAGGTACTGTAGGTACTGTATTACTGTAGGTACTGTAGTTACTGTACTACTGTAGGTACTGTATTACTGTAGGTACTGTAGGTACTGTATTACTGTAGGTACTGTAGGTACTGTAGGTACTGTATTACTGTATTACTGTAGGTACTGTATTACTGTAGGTACTGTATTACTGTAGGTACTGTAGGTACTGTATTACTGTAGGTACTGTATTACTGTAGGTACTGTAGCTACTGTATTACTGTAGGTACTGTAGGTACTGTATTACTGTAGGTACTGTATTACTGTAGGTACTGTATTACTGTATTACTGTAGGTACTGTAGGTACTGTATTACTGTATTACTGTAGGTACTGTATTACTGTAGTACTGTATTACTGTAGGTACTGTATTACTGTAGGTACTGTACTACTGTATTACTGTAGGTACTGTAGGTACTGTATTACTGTAGTTACTGTAGGTACTGTATTACTGTAGGTACTGTAGTTACTGTACTACTGTAGGTACTGTATTACTGTAGGTACTGTAGGTACTGTATTACTGTAGGTACTGTAGGTACTGTAGGTACTGTATTACTGTATTACTGTAGGTACTGTATTACTGTAGGTACTGTATTACTGTAGGTACTGTAGGTACTGTATTACTGTAGGTACTGTATTACTGTAGGTACTGTAGATACTGTATTACTGTAGGTACTGTAGGTACTGTATTACTGTAGGTACTGTATTACTGTAGGTACTGTAGGTACTGTATTACTGTAGGTACTGTAGGTACTGTATTACTGTATTACTGTAGATACTGTATTACTGTAGGTACTGTAGGTACTGTATTACTGTAGGTACTGTATTACTGTAGGTACTGTAGGTACTGTATTACTGTAGGTACTGTAGGTACTGTGTTACTGTAGGTACTGTAGGTACTGTAGGTACTGTATTACTGTAGGTACTGTAGGTACTGTATTACTGTAGGTACTGTATTACTGTAGGTACTGTAGATACTGTATTACTGTAGGTACTGTAGGTACTGTGTTACTGTAGGTACTGTAGGTACTGTATTACTGTAGGTACTGTAGGTACTGTATTACTGTAGGTACTGTATTACTGTAGGTACTGTAGATACTGTATTACTGTAGGTACTGTAGGTACTGTATTACTGTATTACTGTAGATACTGTATTAATGTAGGTACTGTAGATACTGTATTACTGTAGGTACTGTATTACTGTAGGTACTGTAGATACTGTATTACTGTAGGTACTGTAGGTACTGTATTACTGTAGGTACTGTAGGTACTGTATTACTGTAGGTACTGTATTACTGTAGGTACTGTAGGTACTGTAGGTACTGTATTACTGTAGGTACTGTAGGTACTGTATTACTGTAGGTACTGTAGATACTGTAGGTACTGTAGGTACTGTAGGTTCTGTATAGTAGTACAGTATAAATGTCCCGCAGGTGTGATGTCATTTGCTGTGTTGTCATGGATACTGTCAGAATGGGCGTGGCCTCAGGGCTGTGCTGCTTCAGTATCAGCTGGTAACAGTCAGCCAGCTGATATCTCTCTCTCTCTCTCTCTCTCTCTCTCTCTCTCTGAGGAAAACAACAACCAGACCTTTGACCTTTCACAGACCTCAGTGTTAACACAGCTGCATTGTGGGTAATTTGACTGACTGTCAATGAGCCCATGTTTGTCAGCAGATTTTACACTCACAGTAAAATGTCTATATTATTCAATCAATAAACAATATGCAGAGGAACATGTCGTTATCAATCAATAAACTGTCAATAAGCAGAGGAACATGTCGTTATCAATCAATAAACTGTCAATAAGCAGAGGAACATGTTATCAATCAATAAACTGTCAATAAGCAGAGGAACATGTCGTTATCAATCAATAAAGGCTCAGAGTTCACGTCTGATACTCAATCACTTTACTGCTCTCAATCAATAATCTATAATCACTCCTTCAGTCTGAACATTAACAGTGGTGGAAAGTACACAAGTAGTGTGAGTATATTCATTTTACTTTAAATTCATACTCACATAAATATAGATAGTTTCTATATGTATTATTATCATTGTTAATAATAATAATAATATTTAACGACCAGACTGAATATTTACATAAACACACGTTATACACTGTATACAACAAAGGTAATGTACTTTTACTATTAAAAAGTGTACATAATTAAACTTTAGTTTAAACACATCCTGTCTCACTGCTCTCTATATTACAGTCCTATGTGATCAATAAGTGAATCAATTTATTAGTTGTTACCAAACCTCATGCTGATCACAGTATAGTACAATCAATGAAAGCGTTGTGAGCTCAGAGGAATGAGGAAGCCGCTGTCTGTCTGTCCGCCATCACTGACTGCAGGCCCGCACGTACGCAGCTGCAGCGGGGGGGGCCCCCGCACAGGGCCCCGCACAGGCACAGCCCCCCGCACAGGCACAGCCCCCGTATTCCAGCTATTACTGATTAACTGAGAATGTGTTCAGCTGATAACTCGCTTTTACATTATCCAGAGTAAAGTGTCTCCGGTCTGCTCGCCAAACTCCGGTCAAAAAACAGTGGATTTAGTGTTTGTCCGGAGCGTTTGTTTGCCAGCTGGCAGAACAGCTTTCAGGGAATTTACAGGGTTTCAGTGAACTGACAGATTATTAAGTTATTATTATTATTATTATTATTATTATTATTATTAAGTTAAGCTCTGCTTTTACAGTCGCAGCCATATACACAAACGAATCAGAATATTTTAAATGACACAGGAACCGCGAATAAAAGTTTGCATCTTGTTACAGGTGATATTGATGGTTGAGCTCTGAGTGTGCCGAATTACACAGCGGATCCTAATATTGCAAAAAGATAAAAAAAAAACCAATGATAAAACACAGTAAAACATTATTGATCCTATTTGACTGAAAAAAGTGAGAGTTTATGGAGCGAGTTCGGTTTGAAAGGATAACTGAAGAATGGTGTGAAATCAATAAATAACCGAATAACTAGCGGGTAGGACGACGATACAACCTTTTATCAGCCTTTCTAAATAAGATCAAACACAGAAAGAGGATTTATGTTCGTATTATGTCACCAGCTGGAGGTCAATGTGTTTTTAGCTAACGTTAGCTGTTAGCATATCACATAATCGATTAGAGCGTTCAGGAACTTTATCGAACACCAATAACGCCAGAGCTAATGCTATAGCGCTAATGCTATAGAGCTAATGCTAATGTCAATAACTCTCTCTAAAACAAATACCACAAAACAAAAACAGCTGCTTTAGTTAGCCGCTAACGTTAGCCGCTAACGTTAGCCGCTAACATTAGCCGCTAACTTGAACGTTAGCCGCTAACATTAGCCGCTAACATTAGCCGCTAACATTAGCCGCTACGCTCAACTGAGCTAGCGGCGCTCACTAGCCGACATGTTGGATATAAAAAGAGGAGTTGTTTGAACCGCGGACGGAAGGACTCACCGCGGGCCTTTGCTGTGGACTCTCGATGTCATTATTGATCCGAGTCTGTTCGGTGACACGGTCGCGTGATGAAGCAGCTCCGGTGTTTTCCACCAGCTGGGACCCAATGTCACGATCACGTCAAGGAAAATGCTGTTGGAGAAATCTCGCGAGAATTAAGAGCGACATCCCGTACCAGTCAGACAGAGAGCGAGGCTGCCCCCTGCTGTGCAGTGCTGGTACTGCAAGCTACAGTGTTCCACTGGTACAGTCTGGACACATGTAAATGCTGCTTTATGCTTTATAGTGAAGCATAAAGGCACTACATTTCATACTGTTTATTATTATAAAATAAAATCTAATTCATTGATAATCATGGAATTTCTTAAAAAGCATGTGTACATAAGAAAGGGAAAATAAATAATGGAAGATTTATATTAATTTATGTGAATTATCATTCATTGATATCAATTATTGTTGTCACATTATCATTAAATAATAAAATAAAATAATTTAAAAAGTAGAAACATAAGAAAGCGTCACCGACCAAGACGAGATTCTCCATATCTCGCGACATTTCCGGGCCTCAGCCTTGTTGACGTCACCACGTTCAGTGCGTGCAGCGGAAGCGGGAGGCGGAGTCAGTGTCCGCTGTCAGTAATGTAGATTTTAGAGAGTAAATCCTCAAATTTATAACATTAAGTGTGCAGATTAAAGTCTGTCCGTCCGCTGAGAGACACTCACACACTCACTGCGACCCGGAGACAACACTGCCGCCGCGGGAAAATGTCTGCGGGCTCCGGGAACAGAAACACGAACACGGAACCGTGGGGGAGCTTCGATGAGCACCTCATCCAGGTGAGCTAACATGCTAACAACACAGCTAACTGACAGCTAACGGCTCACTGACTGTTAGTCAACAGCTAACTGACTGTTAGTCAACAGCTAACTAACAGCTAACTGACTGTTAGTCAACAGCTAACTAACTGTTAGTCAACGGCTCACTGACTGTTAGTCAACAGCTAACTAGCTGTTAGTCAACAGCTAACTAACAGCTAACTAACGGCTCACTGACTGTTAGTCAACAGCTAACTAACTGTTAGTCAACAGCTAACTGACTGTTAGTCAACGGCTAACTGACTGTTAGTCAACAGCTAACTGACTGTTAGTCAACAGCTAACTGACTGTTAGCTAACTAACTAACTGTTAGTCAACGGCTAACTGACTGTTAGTCAACAGCTAACTGACTGTTAGTCAACAGCTAACTGACTGTTAGTCAACAGCTAACTAACTGTTAGTCAACAGCTAACTAACTGTTAGTCAACGGCTAACTGACTGTTAGTCAACAGCTAACTAACTGTTAGTCAACAGCTAACTAACGTAACTGACTGTTAGTCAACGGCTTCACTGACTGTTAGTCAACAGCTAACTGACTGTTAGTCAACAGCTAACTAACTGTTAGTCAACAGCTAACTGACTGTTAGTCAACAGCTAACTAACTGTTAGTCAACAGCTAACTAACTGTTAGTCAACAGCTAACTGACTGTTAGTCAACAGCTAACTAACTGTTAGTCAACAGCTAACTGACTGTTAGTCAACGGCTAACTGACTGTTAGTCAACGGCTAACTGACTGTTAGTCAACAGCTAACTGACTGTTAGTCAACAGCTAACTGACTGTTAGTCAACAGCTGTTAGTAACACTAACTGTTAGTCAACAGCTAACTAACTGTAAGTCAACAGCTAACTAACTGTACTGTTAGTCAACAGCTAACTGACTGTTAGTCAACGGCTAACTAACTGTTAGTCAACAGCTAACTAACTGTTAGTCAACAGCTAACTGACTGTTAGTCAACAGCTAACTGACTGTTAGTCAACAGCTAACTGTTAGTCAACAGCTAACTGACTGTTAACTGTAAGTCAACAGCTAACTGACTGTTAGTCAACAGAACTAACTGACTGTTAGTCAACGGCTAACTAACTGTTAGTCAACGGCTAACTGACTGTTAGTCAACGGCTAACTAACTGTTAGTCAACAGCTCACTAACAGCTAACTGACTGTTAGTCAACAGCTAACTGACTGTTAGTCAACAGCTCACTAACAGCTAACTGACTGTTAGTCAACGGCTAACTTTTGTAACAGCTAACTGACTGTTAGTCAACAGCTAACTAACTGTTAGTCAACAGCTAACTGACTGTTAGTCAACAGCTAACTGACTGTTAGTCAACAGCTAACTAAGTCAACAGCCTAACTGTTAGTCAACAGCTAACTAACTGTTAGTCAACAGCTAACTGACTGTTAGTCAACAGCTAACTAACAGCTAACTAACTGTTAGTCAACAGCTAACTGACTGTTAGTCAACAGCTAACTAACTGTTAGTCAACAGCTAACTGACTGTTAGTCAACAGCTAACTAACTGTTAGTCAAGCTACTGACTGTTAGTCAATCAGCTAACTGACTGTTAGTCAACAGCTAACTGACTGTTAGTCAACGGCTAACTAACTGTTAGTCAACGGCTAACTGACTGTTAGTCAACGGCTAACTAACGGCTAACTAACTGTTAGTCAACAGCTAACTAACTGTTAGTCAACAGCTAACTAACTGTTAGTCAACAGCTAACTAACTGTTAGTCAACAGCTAACTAACTGTTAGTCAACGGCTCAACTGACTGTTAGTCAACAGCTAACTGACTGTTAGTCAACAGCTAACTAACTGTTAGTCAACGGCTGTTAGTCAACAGCTAACTAACTAAACTAACTGTTAGTAAAGCTAACTGACTGTTAGTCAACAGCTAACTGACTGTTAGTCAACAGCTAACTGACTGTTAGTCAACAGCTAACTGACTGTTAGTCAACGGCTAACTAACGGCTAACTGACTGTTAGTCAACAGCTAACTGACTGTTAGTCAACAGCTAACTAACTGTTAGTCAACGGCTAACTGACTGTTAGTCAACGGCTCACTGACTGTTAGTCAACAGCTAACTAACTGTTAGTCAACGGCTAACTGACTGTTAGTCAACAGCTAACTGACTGTTAGTCAACAGCTAACTAACGGCTAACTAACTTAAGCTAACTAACAGCTAACTGACTGTTAGTCAACAGCTACTAACTGTTATCAACAGCTAACTGACTGTTAGTCAACGGTAACTAACTGTTAGTCAACAGCTAACTGACTGTTAGTCAACAGCTAACTAACTGTTAGTAACAGCTAACTGACTGTTAGTCACGCTAACTGACTGTTAGTCAACAGCTAACTGACTGTTGTCAACAGCTAACTGACTGTTAGTCAACAGCACTGACTGTTAGTCAACGGCTAACTAACTGTTAGTCAACAGCTAACTGACTGTTAGTCAACAGCTAACTGACTGTTAGTCAACGGCTAACTGACTGTTAGTCAACGGCTAACTAACGGCTAACTGACTGTTAGTCAACGGCTAACTAACAGCTAACTGACTGTTAGTCAACAGCTAACTGACTGTTAGTCAACAGCTAACTAACGGCTAACTAACTGTTAGTCAACAGCTAACTAACAGCTAACTAACTGTTAGTCAACAGCTAACTAACTGTTAGTCAACAGCTAACTAACTGTTAGTCAACAGCTAACTAACGGCTAACTGACTGTTAGTCAACAGCTAACTGACTGTTAGTCAACAGCTAACTAACGGCTAACTGACTGTTAGTCAACAGCTAACTAACAGCTAACTAACTGTTAGTCAACAGCTAACTGACTGTTAGTCAACAGCTAACTAACAGCTAACTAACTGTTAGTCAACAGCTAACAACGTAGACTGTTAGTCAACAGAAGCTAACAGCTAACTAACTGTTAGTCAACAGCTAACTAACAGCTAACTAACAGCTAACTAACTGTTAGTCAACAGCTAACTAACTGTTAGTCAACAGCTAACTAACTGTTAGTCAACAGCTAACTAACGGGGCAAGTTTACGTGTCAACCCGTCAGCTAACGTGCTAATGTAAGACACCTGACTGACGCAATGGCCAGTGGTGGAAGAATGCTGCGATCCATTTGTCTCGTAAATCCTCCGCCCGAGTTGTTCTGCTGCGAGAACGTGACGTAATTACCCGGCTCGTACCACTTATAGAGATCCAGTTGTCAGAGAGAACATGGACGCCACCAGTGCAGCAGCTGTGTTATTGATTGTGGATCATCTAAACGAGCTCAATGTGAAATAATAATTATGTTTTTCTACACAAACATTTCAACTAATTCTGTTATTGCAAGTCTCACAGTTCAATAATATTTCCTCCTATTTCAATGTCAACAAGGGCTGTGGCGTTTGTCTCGAGCCTCCAGGGGCCTCCAGGGGCCTCCAGGGGCCACCAGGGGCCTCCAGGGGCCTCCAGGGGCACCAGGGGCCTCCAGGGGCACCAGGGGCCTCCAGGGGCCTCCAGGGGCCACCAGGGGCCTCCAGGGGCCACCAGGGGCCTCCAGGGGCCTCCAGGGCCACCAGGGGCCTCCAGGGGCACCAGGGGCCTCCAGGGCCACCAGGGGCCACCAGGGGCCCAGGCCAGGGGCCTCCAGGGGCCACCAGGGCCACCAGGGGCCACCAGGGGCCACCAGGGGCACCAGGGGCCTCCAGGGGCCACCAGGGGCCACCAGGGGCCACCAGGGGCCACCAGGGGCCTCCAGGGGCCTCCAGGGGCCACCAGGGGCTGCACCAGGGGCCTCCAGGGCCACCAGGGGCCACCAGGGGCACCAGGGGCCTCCAGGGGCCTCCAGGGGCCACCAGGGGCCACCAGGGGCACCAGGGGCCTCCAGGGGCCACCAGGGCCTCCAGGGCCACCAGGGGCCACCAGGGGCACCAGGGGCCTCCAGGGGCCTCCAGGGGCAGTGGCAGGCTAGTGTTATTGTTAGCTACATTAGCCTATTTAGCAAACCAACTCGAAAACAAAACTTTACATTGTATTGAACTCTCTGGTGACCGGACTAAAGCAGCAATGTGTAAAAGTGTAAGAGCATTTAAAATCGACATTTAAACGACCAACATAGTACAAATACAAAGAACGTACGTGCCCCCCCCGTTCAGCTCGGTGTACTCTGAGGAACCTCGAGTGGGACGGTAGTTATTACGACCAAAAGGGGGGGGTGTGTCTCGGTGAAATGTCGCGAGATAGCTGCGAGATTTACACTTTCCAACTCGGGTTCAGAGTTTACGAGACAAATGGATCGCACCAGAAGCATTCAGGTCATTCACTGAAGTCTAAACAGTCTAAAGATACTCAAAGTACTGTCACCATCATCCAGTAAAGTACTGCAGTATATACAGTAATATATATAATAATATATATAATAATATACAGTAATATGTATAATAATATATAGTAATATATATATAATAATATACAGTAATATATATAATAATATATATAATAATATACAGTAATAGATATAATAATATATAATAATATACAGTAATAGATATAATAATATATAATAATATACAGTAATATATATAATAATATATATAATAATATACAGTAATATGTATAATAATATATAGTAATATATATATAATAATATACAGTAATATATATAATAATATATATAATAATATACAGTAATAGATATAATAATATATAATAATATACAGTAATAGATATAATAATATATAATAATATACAGTAATAGATATAATAATATATATAATAATATACAGTAATAGATATAATAATATATAATAATATACAGTAATAGATATAATAATATATATAATAATATACGGTAATAGATATAATAATATATATAATAATATACGGTAATAGATATAATAATATATATAATAATATATAATAATATACAGTAATATGTATAATAATATATAGTAATATATATATAATAATATACAGTAATAGATATAATAATATATATAATAATATACAGTAATATATATAATAATATATAATAATATACAGTAATAGATATAATAATATATAATAATATACAGTAATAGATATAATAATATACAGTAATAGATATAATAATATATAATAATATACAGTAATATGTATAATAATATATAGTAATATATATATAATAATATATATAATAATATACAGTAATAGATATAATAATATATATAATAATATACAGTAATATGTATAATAATATATAGTAATATATATATAATAATATATATAATATACAGTAATATTTATAATAATATACAGTAATATATAGTGATATATATTATATATATAATAATATACAGTAATATTAATATACAGTAAAGTACTGCAGTATATAATAATATACAGTACTATATAGTAATATACAGTAATATACAGTAAAGTACTGCAGTATATAGTAATATACAATAATATACAGTAATATACAGTAAAGTACTGCAGTATATAGTAATATACAATAATATACAGTAATATACAGTAATATACAGTAAAGTACTGCAGTATATAGTAATATACAATAATATACAGTAATATATAGTAATATACAGTAAAGTACTGCAGTATATAGTAATATACAATAATATACAGTAATATATAGTAATATACAGTAAAGTACTGCAGTATATAGTAATATACAATAATATACAGTAATATATAGTAATATACAGTAAAGTACTGCAGTATATAGTAATATACAGTAATATATAGTAATATACAGTAAAGTACTGCAGTATATAGTAATATACAATAATATACAGTAATATATAGTAATATACAGTAAAGTACTGCAGTATATAGTAATATACAATAATATACAATAATATACAGTAATATACAGTAAAGTACTGCAGTATATAGTAATATACAATAATATACAGTAATATATAGTAATATACAGTAAAGTACTGCAGTATATAGTAATATACAGTAATATATAGTAATATATAGTAATATACAGTAAAGTACTGCAGTATATAGTAATATACAGTAATATATAGTAATATACAGTAAAGTACTGCAGTATATAGTAATATACAATAATATATAGTAATATACAATAATATACAGTAATATACAGTAAAGTACTGCAGTATATAGTAATATACAGTAATATATAGTAATATACAGTAATATATAGTAATATACAGTAAAGTACTGCAGTATATAGTAATATACAATAATATACAGTAATATACAATAATATACAGTAATATACAGTAATGTTATAGTAATGTACTTGCAGTAATATAAGTAATATACAGTAATATATAGTAATATACAGTAATATACAGTAATATATAGTAATATACAATAATATATAGTAATATACAGTAATATACAGTAATATATAGTAATATACAATAATATACAATAATATACAGTAATATACAGTAAAGTACTGCAGTATATAGTAATATACAATAATATACAGTGAAGTACTGTAGTGGTATCTGTTAACCTTCCCTGACTGTGAAACATATAATCAAGAAATTGATCACTGTAGTATCTATTGACTGTGCTTCCCTCCGTGGTGCGTTCAGGGCAGTGGCTCGGCGGTTGTCGACATGGAGAACATGGACGACACGTCGGGCTCGAGCTTTGAGGACATGGGCGAGATGCACCAGAGGATGAAGGAGGAGGAGGAGGTGGCGGCGGAGGCGGCTGCTACTGAGGATGACAGCACCGAGGACGGAGAGTTCCTGGGAATGAAGGGGTTAAAGGGTCAGTTGGGCCGACAGGTGGCTGACGAGGTGAGTTAAATTCAACTGATCACTAATCAATACTCCCATTATTAAAGCATCAATCAACCTGATCAGCCTTCAGCAGTAAGCTAGTGTTTCTGTAGTGGAGACTAAACGTTAACAATGATCCATATCAGCAGTTTGAATCCAACTAAAAGCTCCCTGCACCAAACTCCCTTTAAGAAATATCACATTTTAACAATTCCTAACGTGTTCGTAACAACACGTAACTCTAGAAACACGAGCTAAAGGCCGTCATATGTCCACAGTCTGACTGTCAATACAGGATCAATATCATCCATAATGATACAGTGTATACTGATCAATATCATCCATAAAGATACAGTGTATACTGATCAATATCATCCATAAAGATACAGTGTATACTGATCAATATCATCCATAAAGATACAGTGTATACTGATCAATATCATCCATAAAGATACAGTGTATACTGATCAATATCATCCATAAAGATACAGTGTATTCTGATCAATATCATCCATAAAGATACAGTGTATCCTGATCAATAATCAATAAAGATACAGTGTGTACTGATCAATAATCAATAAAGATAGTGTATACTGATCAATAATCAATAAAGATAGTGTATACTGATCAATATCATCTATGAAGATACAGTGTATACTGATCAATATCATCCATAAAGATACAGTGTATACTGATCAATATCATCCATAAAGATACAGTGTATACTGATCAATATCATCTATGAAGATACAGTGTATACTGATCAATAATCCATAAAGATACAGTGTATACTGATCAATAATCCATAAAGATACAGTGTATACTGATCAATAATCCATAAAGATACAGTACTGTGTCCATTCCCCATCTGTTATGTGTGTGTGTGTGTGTGTGTGTGTTCAGGTGTGGCAGGCGGGGAAGCGTCAGGCCTCTAAAGCCTTCAACCTGTACGCCAACATCGACATCCTGAGGCCGTACTTTGACGTGGAGCCGGTGCAGGTCCGCAGCAGGTACCACTTCCTGTTTCCTGTCTGTGTCCCACTCAGTGCGATGCTAACAGATGCTAACAGATGCTAACAGATGCTAACAGATGCTACCTGTCTCTTCTCAGGCTCATTGAGTCGATGATACCTGTCCGCATGATCAACTTCCCCCAGAAGATCGCAGGTGAGCTGTACGGTCCTCTGATGCTGGTCTTCACTCTGGTGGCCATCCTGCTGCACGGCATGAAGACGTCAGGAACCGTCATTGTACGCACACACACACACACACACACACACACACACACACACACACACACACACACACACAGACACACACACACACACACACACAGACACACTCATACACACACACACACACACAAACACAAACACAAACACACACTCCCCCCCCCCCCCACACCCCCACACCCAACACACACACACACACACACAGACACACACACACACACACACACACACACACACACACACACACACACACACACAGTCAAACATGTGTCACCAACCAAACTGTTCAAATCTTACAGTATTTAAAATCAATTACAAACTTTGTGTGTGTGTGTGTGTGTGTGTGTGTGTGTGTGTGTGTGTGTGTGTTACAGAGGGAGGGGACTCTGATGGGAACAGCCATAGGAACCTGTTTCGGTTACTGGCTCGGTGTTTCCTCCTTCATCTACTTCCTGGCGTACCTGGTCAACGCTCAGATCACCATGCTGCAGACGCTGTCCCTGCTGGTCAGACACAGTACTGCATCTACACACTGTACCTACACACTGTACACACTGTACCTACACACTGTACCTACACACTGCATCTACACACTGTACCTACACACTGCATCTACACACTGTACCTACACACTGCATCTACACACTGTACCTACACACTGTACACACTGTACCTACACACTGCATCTACACACTGCATCTACACACTGTACCTACACACTGCATCTACACACTGCATCTACACACTGTACCTACACACTGCATCTACACACTGTACCTACACACTGCATCTACACACTGCATCTACACACTGTACCTACACACTGTACACACTGTACCTACACACTGTACCTACACACTGCATCTACACACTGTACCTACACACTGCATCTACACACTGTACCTACACACTGTACCTACACACTGCATCTACACACTGTACCTACACACTGCATCTACACACTGCATCTACACACTGTACCTACACACTGTACCTACACACTGCATCTACACACTGCATCTACACACTGCATCTACACACTGCATCTACACACTGTACAGTTATGCTACACACTGTACACACTGTACCTACACACTGCATCTACACACTGCATCTACACACTGTACCTACACACTGTACACACTGTACCTACACACTGTACACACTGTACCTACACACTGTACCTACACACTGTACACACTGTACCTACACACTGTACCTACACACTGTACATACACACTGCACCTACACACTGCTACACACTGTACCTACACACTGTACCTACACACTGTACACACTGCATCTACACACTGTACACACTGTCCTACACACTGTACCTACACACTGTACCTACACACTGTACCTACACACTGCATCTACACACTGTACACACTGTACCTACACACTGCATCTACACACTGTACCTACACACTGCATCTACACACTGCATCTACACACTGCATCTACACACTGTACCTACACACTGTACACACTGTACCTACACACTGTACCTACACACTGTACACACTGTACCTACACACTGTCACTGTACCTACACACTGTACACACTGTACCTACACACTGTACCTACACACTGTACACACTGTACCTACACACTGCATCTACACACTGTACCTACACACTGTACCTACACACTGTACACACTGTACCTACACACTGTACCTACACACTGTACACACTGTACCTACACACTGTACCTACACACTGTACCTACACACTGTACCTACACACTGTACCTACACACTGTACCTACACACTGTACCTACACACTGTACACACTGTACCTACACACTGCATCTACACACTGTACCTACACACTGTACCTACACACTGTACACACTGTACACACTGTACCTACACACTGTACCTACACACTGTACACACTGTACCTACACACTGTACACACTGTACCTACACACTGTACTGCCTACACACTGCTACACACTGTACACACTGCTACACACTGCATCTACACACTGCATCTACACACTGCATCTACACACTGTACACACTGTACCTACACACTGCATCTACACACTGTACACACTGTACCTACACACTGCATCTACACACTGTACACACTGTAGTGCACACAATATGGCCGCTGTGTGACACCACTTCCTGTCTCCTGTTTCCAGGGTTACGGTCTGTTCGGTCACTGCGTGGTCCTCCTCATCACCTACAACATCCACTTCCACTTCCTGTTCTACGTCCTCTGGTTGCTGCTCGGAGGACTGTCCACTCTGCGCATGGTGAGAACTACGTTTCCCATCAGCCCCCTGTTGTCCCTCAGCTGGGATCTCATGGTGCGATCCATTTGTCTCGTAAATCCTCCGCCCGAGTTGTTCTGCTGCGAGAACGTGACGTAATTACCCGGCTCGTACCACTTATAGAGATCCAGTTGTCAGAGAGAACATGGACGCCACCAGTGCAGCAGCTGTGTTATTGATTGTGGATCATCTAAACGAGCTCAATGTGAAATAATAATTATGTTTTTCTACACAAACATTTCAACTAATTCTGTTATTGCAAGTCTCACAGTTCAATAATATTTCCTCCTATTTCAATGTCAACAAGGGCTGTGGCGTTTGTCTCGAGCCTCCAGGGGCCTTCAGGGGCTCCAGGGGCCACCAGGAGCCACCAGGGGCCACCAGGGGCCTCCAGGGGCCACCAGGAGCCACCAGGGGCCACCAGGGGCCTCAGGGGCCTCCAGGGCGGAGCCTCCAGGGGCCTCCAGGGGCCTTCAGGGGCAGGCTAGTGTTATTGTTAGCTACATTAGCCTATTAAAAGACATTAAAACGACCAACGTAGCACAAATACAAAGAACTTACAGCTCAGTATGGGCACTGCCATCTTTGTTTTGCGAGTCATACGTGCCCCCCCCCCGTTCAGCTCGGTGCACTCTGAGGAACCTCGAGTGGGACGGTCGATATTACCACCAAAAGGGGGGGGGGGGGTGTCTCGGTGAAATGTCGCAAGATAGCTGCGAGATTTACACTTTCCAACTCGGGCGGGGGGGTTACGAGACAAATGGATGGACACCATTACATGGTCACACTGTACACACTGTACACACTCTACCTACACACTGTACACACTGTACCTACACACTGTACACACTGTACACACTGTACCTACACACTGTACCTACACACTGTACACACTCTACCTACACACTGCACCTACACACTGTACCTACACACTGTACACACTGTACACACTGTACACACTCTACCTACACACTGTACACACTGTACACACTGTACCTACACACTGTACACACTGTACACACTGTACCTACACACTGTACACACTGTACCTACACACTGTACACACTCTACCTACACACTGTACACACTCTACCTACACACTGTACACACTGCACCTACACACTGTACACACTGTACACACTGTACCTACACACTCTACACACTGTACACACTGTACACACTCTACCTACACACTGTACACACTGTACCTATACACTGTACACACTGTACACACTGTACACACTCTACCTACACACTGTACACACTCTACCTACACACTGTACACACTGCACCTACACACTGTACACACTGTACACACTGCACCTACACACTGTACACACTGTACACACTGTACCTACACACTGTACCTACACACTGTACACACTGTACACACTGTACCTACACACTGTACCTACACACTGTACACACTGTACACACTGTACCTACACACTGTACACACTGTACACACTGTACACACTGTAACTACACACTGTACCTACACACTGTACACACTGTACCTACACACTGTACACACTGTACCTACACACTGTACACACTGTACACACTGTACCTACACACTGTACACACTGTACCTACACACTGTAACTACACACTGTACACACTGTACACACTGTACCTACACACTGTACACACTGTACCTACACACTGTACACACTGTGTGTGTGGCCCCTGTCAGGTGGCGGCCCTGCTGTCTCGTACGGTGGGACAGACTCCTCGTCTGTTGCTGTGTGGGACGCTGACTCTGCTGCACATGCTCTTCCTGCTCTACCTGCACTTCGCCTACCACAAGATCGTAGAAGGTCAGAGGTCATCAGAGCCCCATGAATCATTAATTATTCATTAATAATGAGTCAGAGTGAGACCTCCTGTTGTGCTTTCAGGGCTGCTGGACTCTCTGGAAGGACCCAACATGGCTCCCATGCAGCGGGTGGCCAGAGACGTGCCTGAACTGACAGTGAACGCCACGGCGAGGAGCCTGGGGGTGCTGCTGAGGGCCCACTGAGGGGCCCACTGAGGGGCCACTGGGGGGCCACTGAGGGGCCACTGAGGGGCCACTGAGGGGCCACTGGGGGGCCCACTGAGGGGGAATAACATCTCTTCCTGTCTGAACCTTCATGTTAAAGTTGAACTCTTGGTGTCTGTAATATTTAGTTTGGGGCTTTTAATGAATTGTTTCCATGTTCAGATGTATTTATAGTTTCTGTACAGAGACTCAATAAACTGTATGTAATGTTAATGTTTATGTTCTCTATCTATTCAGTCATAAAATAAAAATAAAATATAATCTATATATATTGCAGGTATATCAGGAAGCTTGTAGAAAAACAAACACTATAGGCTAAACTTTTATTTTGAAACGCTGGCTTTGTGTACCCTGCGCGAGGCCTGTCAGGTGGTACCGCCTCTAGTCTGCACCAATCAGAGGAGAGGAGTAAAGACGATTCAGCCAATCAGAGCGGAGGAAGAAAGTCCGTCAATAGCGGCGAACCTCCTAGACTTCGCTCAGGGCGTAAAGCGACACGTCACCGCGTAAAGCGACACGTCACCGCGTAAAGTCTTGTTTACATACAGCGCGGGAAACTGCGACAGCGGAGGACAGACAGACACAGACGGAGTGAGGAAGACGAGGATGAAGGTTTATTTCTGCGGTAGTATCCGCGGCGGAAGAGATGACGTTGCTCTGTACCGGAGGATCGTTCAGAAGCTGCAGAGCTACGGGACCGTGCTGACCGAGCACGTGGGCAGCAACGAGCTCACCGACAGAGGTCAGAGGTCAAACCACACACTGTGTGTGCAGTAATAGTGCACTTTTTCAAAAGGCCGTTTGGTCCCCTGAAGTTGGTACCGTCCAAAAACAAAGCTCCGCTATAGTACACAGAGACGCGTCAGGCACTAGGACCCAGCGGAAAACGGCCGCTCAAGCTGAAGCCTGTTTCCCTTAGTTTAGACCCGCCCACAAGCTCCTCGATTGGCTCTGCCGTTTACACACTAACACACACTGTACTACACACTGTACTACACACTGTACTACACACACTGTACTACACACTGTACACACTAACACACACTGTACACACTAACACACACTGTACACACTAACACACACTGTACTACACACTGTACACACTAACACACACTGTACTACACACTGTACTACACACTGTACACACTAACACACACTGTACTACACACTGTACTACACACTGTACACACTAACACACACTGTACTACACACTGTACTACACACTGTACACACTAACACACACTGTACTACACACTGTACTACACACTGTACACACTAACACACACTGTACACACTAACACACACTGTACTACACACTGTACTACACACACTGTACTACACACTGTACACACTAACACACACTGTACTACACACTGTACACACTAACACACACTGTACTACACACTGTAATACACACTGTACTACACACACTGTACTACACACTGTAATACACACTGTACTACACACTGTACACACTAACACACACTGTACTACACACTGCACTACACACTGTACACACTAACACACACTGTACACACTAACACACACTGTACTACACACACTGTACACACACTGTACTACACACACTGTACTACACACTGTACAACACACTGTACACACACTGTACTACACACACTGTACACACACTGTACTACACACTGTACTACACACTGTACACACTAACACACACTGTACACACTAACACACACTGTACTACACACACTGTACACACACACTGTAATACACACTAACACACACTGTACTACACACTGTACTACACACTGTACACACTAACACACACTGTACTACACACTGTACTACACACACTGTACTACACACTGTACACACTAACACACACTGTATATACAGTGTGTGTTAGTGTGTACAGTGTGTAGTACAGTGTGTGTAGTACAGTGTGTGTACAGTGTGTGTAGTACAGTGTGTGGTGTACAGTGTGTAGTACAGTGTGTGTACAGTGTGTGTAGTACAGTGTGTGTACAGTGTGTGTAGTACAGTGTGTGTACAGTGTGTGTAGTACAGTGTGTGTACAGTGTGTGTAGTACAGTGTACAGTGTGTGTACAGTGTGTGTACAGTGTGTTGTACAGTGTGTGTAGTACAGTGTGTGTACAGTGTGTTGTACAGTGTGTAGTACAGTGTGTGTACAGTGTGTGTAGTACAGTGTGTGTACAGTGTGTGTAGTACAGTGTGTGTACAGTGTGTGTACAGTGTGTAGTACAGTGTGTGTACAGTGTGTGTAGTACAGTGTGTGTAGTACAGTGTGTAGTACAGTGTGTGTAGTACAGTGTGTAGTACAGTAGTGTTAAGTGTGTGTAGTACAGTGTGTTAGTGTGTATTACAGTGTGTGTACAGTGTGTAGTACAGTGTGTGTTGTACAGTGTGTGTAGTTGTACAGTGTGTTAAGTGTGTAGTACAGTGTGTTAGTGTGTATTACACTGTGTGTACAGTGTGTGTAGTACTGTGTGTTGTACAGTGTGTGTACAGTGTGTAGTACAGTGTGTAGTACAGTGTGTGTACAGTGTGTGTAGTACAGTGTGTAGTACAGTGTGTAGTACAGTGTGTAGTGTGTGTAGTACAGTGTGTGTAGTACAGTGTGTGTAGTACAGTGTGTTAGTACAGTGTGTGTAGTACAGTGTGTGTAGTACAGTGTGTAGTACAGTGTGTAGTACAGTGTGTGTAGTACAGTGTGTGTACACTATGTGTGTAGTACAGTGTGTGTACACTGTGTGTTGTACAGTGTGTGTAGTACAGTGTGTTGTACAGTGTGTGTAGTACAGTGTGTAGTACAGTGTGTGTACAGTGTGTGTAGTACAGTGTGTAGTACAGTGTGTGTACAGTGTGTGTAGTACAGTACAGTGTGTGTGTGTGTTGTACAGTGTGTGTAGTACAGTGTGTGTTAGTACAGTGTGTGTAGTACAGTGTGTTGTACAGTGTGTTGTACAGTGTGTGTAGTACAGTGTGTAGTACAGTGTGTGTAGTACAGTGTGTAGTACAGTGTGTAGTACAGTGTGTGTACAGTGTGTGTAGTACAGTGTGTAGTACAGTGTGTGTAGTACAGTGTGTAGTACAGTGTGTGTAGTACAGTGTGTAGTACAGTGTGTGTAGTACAGTGTGTAGTACAGTGTGTAGTACAGTGTGTGTAGTACAGTGTGTGTAGTACAGTGTGTGTAGTACAGTGTGTGTAGTACAGTGTGTGTTGTACAGTGTGTGTAGTACAGTGTGTAGTACAGTGTGTGTAGTACAGTGTGTGTACAGTGTGTGTAGTACAGTGTGTAGTACAGTGTGTGTAGTACAGTGTGTAGTACAGTGTGTAGTACAGTGTGTTGTACAGTGTGTGTAGTACAGTGTGTAGTACAGTGTGTGTAGTACAGTGTGTGTAGTACAGTGTGTGTAGTACAGTGTGTAGTACAGTGTGTGTAGTACAGTGTGTAGTACAGTGTGTGTAGTACAGTGTGTTAGTACAGTGTGTGTAGTACAGTGTGTAGTACAGTGTGTACAGTGTGTGTACAGTGTGTGTACAGTGCAGTGGCAGAACTTTGTTTTGGATTTTTCTTATAATCCCTTATTTCCAGTTTCCTTCGTTTTACCACAGGGAGAAAGCAGCGGTGCAGTGTCAGACTCGCAGTTTGTGATCGAATAAATCCAGTGAGAGTTGATTGAAGAATGATGCCGGTAATTTATTGTAACTTAAACAAATACAGAAAATAAAACGCATTGTTTGCAGAGGTCTTAAAATATTCTATAACTGTCAGGACCAGGCTACAGCTAAACTCGATTGTAGCTCCAAACAGCAACAGGCCGAGAGGGCCCAGGCAGCTTCACATGCTGCGGTCAATGACGGCGTTTGCTGGTCTGCTTTCCTCCCCCATGCATGATGGGCGACTGCCTTAAAGGGTGGCACCATCACCACCTGTAGAGGGCGCACACTGACAAAAGACAATGTAAATAATGGAATTCAAATAAACTTAAATGCGGCTCCTACACACCGGCCCCTTAATTGTTCTTTATAGAATCAATTATAGAAATATTTACAAAAAGGAGCCAAAATAGTAATTGAAATTCGGTAAGCACTTAATGCTCTTCTATAAAGTGTATGAACTGTGATAAAGATATGTATACATTACATTCCTTTATAATGGTCGGGAACACTGGTCACTCATCAGCCTCAAGGACTCGGCACAGCTTAGTGATGGGCCTCTCAAGGACCGACGTCTTGGTCCGGACTTTCACAGAGCGGACCAGGCCTTTCACGTCTGGTTTGGCCTCCAGCACTCTCCCCAATAGCCAGGACCCTCGAGGAGCAGTGGGGTCAACCACCAGGACAATGTCTCCAACGTTCAGGTTTTTCTTTACTGATGTCCACTTCTGCCTCTCTTGCTGTAAAAGGAGATACTCCTTGGTCCATCTATGCCAGAAGAGGTCAGCCAGGTACTGGACCTGTTTCCAGCGGCGTCTGGCGTAGAGATCGGACCTCACAAAGGTTCCAGGGGGCAGAGTGGGCATAGATTTGAGCAGGAGGATGTGATTGGGGGTCAGTGGCTCCAGGTCGTGTGGATCTGAGGACACTGTGGAGAGCGGACGGTTGTTGAGGATTGCCTCTGCCTCACAGAACAGGGTCTGAAGGCCTTCATCATCGATGGACTGTTGATGGAGAGTGGAGTTCAGCACCTGCCGGACGGAGCGTATGAGCCTTTCCCCGACTCTGCCATGGTGTGATGCGGCTGGCGGGTTGAAACTCCATTCTATTTCATCAGTTAACAGGGCATCCTGGATCCTCCTCTGGTTCAGTGACATCAGGGCCTTCTTCAGCTCAGCCTGAGCGCCCACCAGGTTTGTCCCATTGTCAGACCTGATGTGCTTAACTTGACCCCTCCTGCAGACAAATCTCCTCAAAGCATGTATGCATGAGTCAGTGTCCAACGTGTAGGCAACCTCTAAGTGAATGGCTCTACTGGACATACAAGTGAAAAGAACACCATACCTTTTGATAGTGCCCCTTCCTCGTTTCACTTCAATTGAGCCAAAGTAGTCCAAGCCAACATTGGTAAAGGGAGGGAGGTCGGGCAGGATTCTTTCCATCGGCAAGTCCGCCATCTTTTGTTCACCTGCTATGCCTCTCACACGCCGACACATGACACATCTGGAGAGCACCTTTCTTGCTACTGAGTTTGCCTTTACAATCCAGTATTTTTTGCGGAGCTCTGAAAGCATGTGGTTTCTTCCACTGTGACCACTGTGCTCATGGACATGTCTGGTGAGAAGGATTGAGATGTGTGAGTCTTTGGGCAAGATGCAGGGGTGTTTGGTTTCTTCAGGCATTGCAGATTTATGCAGACGGCCACCCACTCTTAGAATGCCCTCGTCCAATACGGGGTCGAGCCGGCAGAGACTGCTGCTCCTGTGCACTCTGGGTGGTGACAATGCCAGTGTTGTCATTTCTACAGGGAAAGCCTGCTGCTGGACGTAGGAGATGACTGACCTTTCGGCCTCTGTAAGATCTTTCACAGAGAGGAGCTGTCCACCAGTGTTGGTCCTGAAATCAATAGACTTGATCTTCATCTTTTCCTTATTTGAGCGGGTGTTGATTCGAGGTGAGGGGAGTGGCTTTCCCCTTTTTATCTTCATACTCAGCATCAACATGTATTTTACTCTAAGGTACCATGCCACTGCCTTGAGTAATTTCATCCAGTTTGAAAAGAATGAGATAAGCTGGTCAGTGGGTGTTTCAGTTTTTACCACTGCTGTAAACATAGCAGTGCCTTTCCTGACCTCTGGATCATCCTGAAACACTGGGCCCAATGCTCCCGCCACTGGCCAACCTTCTTTTGGCTTCCTCAGGAATTCAGGAGCATGAATCCACCTTTTCTGCTCCATGAATTTTCTTGCACTCAACCCTCTTGAGCAGTCATCAGCAGGATTGTCTTTGCTGCTTACATATCTCCATTGAGACAGCTCTGTGTTGTCTCTAATCATAGAGACCCTGTTTGCGACATAAGTCTTAAATCTTGCACGGTCATTTGCAATATATTTAGAGACTGTTTGGCTATCAGTCCAGAAAACTGAGGGCTTTAAACCCAAGTGCAATTCTCTCCTCAGCATTCTGTCTACCCTCACCAGCAGCGCAGCAGCAGCAAGCTCCAGCCTCGGAACTGTGATGGTCTTTAGCGGGTGGACTCTGGACTTTCACATCAGAGTTTCTAAAGGGCAGTTTCAGACTGTAATGTCCATCTTTCAAAAGTGCTTCATTAGCTATTTTCAAAAATCTTTTGTCCTCAATTGACATTTCAGTCTTTTCCTCCGAAGCAACTTCATTGAAATCCTGGCTATACTGTGATATCAGCATCCTTTCCAGATTCACCACTGAAATCCTGTTCACAGTCACCCTGTCTACACAGCCGGCAGCACTTCTCAGTGGCCCATTTACAACCCACCCCAACAGTGTTTTAACAGCTTAGGGACCCCCATTTTGACTGTTAATAACCTCCCATGGCTCTAGTAAGTTTGGAGCATCTGTGCCAATTAGAAGCTCCACCTTAGAATTGATGGTGGGGATTGTAACCTGACTAAGATACGCTCAATGCGTCAAGTCTGTGTATTAGTGTGTGTGTGTACAGTGTGTTACAGTGTGTAGTAATAATGTGTAGTACAGTGTGTAGTACAGTGTGTAGCTACAGTGTGTGTATAAGTACTCAGAGTGAATGTTGATGATGTCACTGACCTGCTGCGCTGTGATTGGACAGGAGAGGACGCTGCTGCAGCAGAAGATCGAGCGATCCACGACCGAGACGTGGCCTGGCTCCGGCAGTCTGACGGTCAAACTCACTTATTGATTTATTGATTATTGGCCCTGAGCAGCTTCTGTAGGTGTGTGACCTCTGACCTCTGTGTTTCCAGTGATCGTGGCGGAGGTCACTCAGCCGTCTCTGGGCGTCGGCTACGAGCTTGGCCGCGCCGTCGACATGAAGAAGAAAGTCTTCTGCTTGTTCAGACCATCGTCAGGACGCAGTGGGGACACTTCCTGTTGATTCACTTCCTATTGACTCACTTCCTGTTGGCTCACTTCCTGTTTACTTCCTTCCTGTTGGCTCACTTCCTGTTTACTTCCTTCCTGTTGACTCACTTTCTTCCTGTTGGCTCACTTCCTGTTTACTTCCTTCCTGTTGACTCACTTCCTTTTGGCTCACTTCCTGTTTACTTCCTTCCTGTTGGCTCAAACAGATTGATATCCAATCAATAACTGATCAATCTGTGTGCAGGGCTCTCGGCCATGGTTCGAGGCGCTGATGACGGTGAGCTGTTCGTGGTCAGAGATTACAGCGAGGACGAGCTGGAGAACGTTCTGGACGAGTTCTTCAAGAACCTGAAGATCAATACACAGATTGATTGATTACATCCTCGTGCGTCCAGCAGGCGGCGCCACAGCTCAGTTTCAAAATGGCCACTGGCTGTAAAACATCACTACAATAAAAACAAATAAAATAAATAAAAATTTTCTTTGTTTATTTTCTCCCGTCAGCCATGTTGTGTCTGATACAATGTATATTATATATTATATTTTATATATTGTATAAATATTATGTTATAAATATATAAATATAGAATAATATTAACATAATATATTACATATATATGTTGAAATTGCGGGAACTTGCAAAAACTGCGGCTTCATCCCGCGGGGTTTGCAGCTTTTCGATGATGTTCACGTCATGCAAGCCCCGTGTATTTTGCACAGAAATCGGCAATTTATGCGGCGAAAGTGCGGCGTATTTGAAAAAAATGCGGCCCCGCATAAATATGCAGACTTTGGCTGATAATGCATTGAATTATGGGATCGCATAATCGCGTTTTTCTGGAGGGACTGACCAATGTGTCTAGATTGCAGTGATCGAATTTGAAGTCAATCCGATAAAATCTGTAAGAGGAGTTTGTTAAAATTGAAGCCCTGAAATGCCAGAAATGGCATCACAGCTTGACATTCTTTGACGGCACGCCACGGACACACCCTTCAACGTACAGTCGCAAATAGCACAACTTTTATTTAGCAACATCTTTTGATTGTATTGTCCAATTTTGAAGTAGAGTTGATAAGTCCCCTATTTATCTTGCAATTTAATACTTGACTTCCAGCGGTTTCCTACAATACTTCGTAGGAAATATGGTTTATAGATGTGGCTAGTGGGAGTGGAGGGTGTTTGTGTTTTATCACTTTGAAAAATGTACATTTTATGAACATGTCTGTATTTGTGTTTAAAATTCAATATAAATGTCTAAGGGGAAAAGGTAAGTCCCCTAGGAGGAGTTCGTTCAAATACAAGGCAAAAATTCACCAAAAACGACCACGGAATTCAAAATGGCCAACTTTGACGGCATGCTACGGCACGCCAGTCGCAAATAGCACAACTTTTAATAAGCAACATTTTTTGACTGTACTGACCAATTTTGAAGCAGAGCCGATAAATTCCCTGGGAGGAGTTTGTTCAAATACAAGGGAAAAGAACAAAATGACTGCTGAGAGTGAAAATCAAAATCAAAATAGCTGACTTCCTGTGGGGTTTGGGGCATGGGTCCAAGAGGCTTTTCTGTACGCTTGGCACGTTACATGTGCCTACCGAGTGACGGGGGTGCTTTGTTGAAATCCTGTAGGGGGCGCTACAAACGCGATTTTTGGTATGTGAGCTTCAGGCACCACTCTACACGTGCCCTGTGAATTTCATATTCATAATTATTACGGTCCCCGCACAGTGATTTACCATGCCACCAGAGCGCCACCTAGTGGCGGATTGTTGACACATTTATTAGCGAGCCTCAGGGAGCCATGGGGAAGCATCGTACAAAGTTTCATTTTAATCACACTTGCCGATGTGGAAGCATAAACTTCTTCATTTTAAAGAGTGCCACCTTGTGGTGATGGCCTGAAATTGTACACAATGCCTAATGAAAACATGAGGAACTATTGACCCAAGTTTGGTGTCAATCGGACATACCAATGTGGAGAAATGGTCAACTTCCTTTTTTGACCATAATCTACAATTCAATTCAATTTTATTTGTATAGCACCAATTCATAACAGAAGTTATCTCAGGACACTTTTCAAATAGAGCAGGTCTAGACCGAACTCTTTAACATTAATTACAGAGACCCAACAGTACCACCATGAGCAAGCACTTGGCGACAAGGGCAAGGAAAAACTGCCTGTTAAAAGGCAGAAACCTAGGACAGATCCTCCGGCTCTAGGTGGGTGGTCGTCTGTCTCGACCAGTTGGGGTGAGAGAGAGAGAGAGAGAGAGAGAGAGAGAGGGGGAGAGAGAGAGAGAGAGAGAGAGACAGACAGACAGACAGACAGGTGCACAGCAACAACAGTATTGGTAATGGCAATCTAGCAGGACCATGGCAGGAGGCTCCACCAGGATCGATAAGAACCTGCGAGACGAGAAAGCACAAGAACTCCGGGGAAGAAGTGAAGTTAGTAACATGCATTAATGGAACATGAATGAGTGCAGAAAGAGAGAGGAAGGGAGGAGCTCAGTGCACCATGGGAAATCCCCCTGATAGTCTAGGCCTATAGCAGCATAACTAAGGGATGGTTCAGGACTCACCTGATCCAGCCCTAACTATAAGCTTTATCAAAGAGGAATGTCTTAAGCCTACTCTTGAATGTGGTGAGGGTGTCTGCCTCCCGAACCACAACTGGAAGCTGGTTCCACAGGAGAGGAGCTTGGTAACTGAAGGCTCTGGCTCCTGTTCTACTTTTAGAGACTATAGGAACCACAAGTAGCCCAGCATTCAGAGAACGTAGTGTTCTAGAGGGGTAATAGGGTACTATGAGCTCTTTAAGATATGAAGGGGCCTGACCATGAAGAGCTTTATAGGTGAGGAGGAGGATTTTAAATTCTATTCTACATTTTACAGGGAGCCAATGCAGAGAAGCTAGTACAGGAGAGATGTGATCTCTTTTTCTAGTTCCTGTCAGTACTTGTGCTGCAGCGTTCTGAATTAATTGGAGCGTTTTAATGGACTTATTGGGGCAACCTGATAATAAAGAGTTGCAGTAATCCAGCCTTGAAGTAACAAATGCATGGATTAGTTTTTCTGCATCTGTCTGTGATAGTATGTGTCTAATTTTTGTAATATTACGTAAATGAAAGAAGGCGGTCCTAGAGGTCTGCTTTATGTGGGAGTTAAATGACAAATCCTGATCAAAGATAACTCCAAGATTCCTGACAGTGGTGCTAGAGGCCAAGTTAATGCCATCTAGAGTAATTATATCCTTAGACAGTGAGTCTCTAAGGTTTTTGGGGCCAAGAACAAGAATTTCGTTTTTTTCTGAGTTTAACATCAGAAAATTGCAGGTCATCCAGGATTTTATGTCCTTAAGACATGTTTGTAATTTAGATAATTGATTAATTTCATCGGGCTTGATCGATAGATATAACTGCGTATCATCTGCATAACAGTGAAAATTAATGGAGTGATTCCTAATAATGTTGCCTAAAGGAAGCATATATAAAGTAAATAGTATTGGTCCAAGTACAGAACCTTGTGGAACTCCATGACTAACTGTAGTATTTATTGAAGATTCAATTCAATTCAATTCAATTCAATTTTATTTGTATAGCGCCAATTCATAACAGAAGTTATCTCAGGACACTTTTCAAATAGAGCAGGTCTAGACCGAACTCTTTAACATTAATTACAGAGACCCAACAGTACCACCATGAGCAAGCACTTGGCGACAAGGGCAAGGAAAAACTGCCTGTTAAAAGGCAGAAACCTAGGACAGATCCTCCGGCTCTAGGTGGGTGGTCGTCTGTCTCGACCAGTTGGGGTGAGAGAGAGAGAGAGAGAGAGAGAGCGACAGACAGACAGACAGGTGCACAGCAACAACAGTATTGGCAATGGCAGTCAAGCAGGACCATGGCAGGAGGCTCCACCAGGATCCATGAGAACCTGCGAGACGAAAGCACAAGAACTCCGGGGGAAGAAGTGGAGTTAGTAACATGCATTAAAGGGACATGAATGAGTGCAGAAAGAGAGAGGAAGAGAGTAGCTCAGTGCACCATGGGAAATCCCCGATAGTCTAGGCCTATAGCAGCATAACTAAGGGATGGTTCAGGACTCACCTGATCCAGCCCTAACTATAAGCTTTATCAAAGAGGAATGTCTTAAGCCTACTCTTGAAAGTGGTGAGGGTGTCTGCCTCCCGAACCACAACTGGAAGCGGTTCCACAGGAGAGGAGCTTGGTAACTGAAGGCTCTGGCTCCTGTTCTACTTTTTAGAGACTATAGGAACCACAAGTAGCCCAGCATTCAGAGAACGTAGTGTTCTAGTGGGGTAATAGGGTACTATGAGCTCTTTAAGATATGAAGGGGCCTGACCATGAAGAGCTTTATAGGTGAGGAGGAGTATTTTAAATTCAATTCTACATTTTATAGGGAGCCAATGCAGAGTAGCTAGTACAGGAGAGATGTGATCTCTTTTTCTAGTTCCTGTCAGTACTCGTGCTGCAGCGTTCTGAATTAATTGGAGCGTTTTAATGGACTTATTGGGGCAACCTGATAATAAAGAGTTGCAGTAATCCAGCCTTGAAGTAACAAATGCATGGATTAGTTTTTCTGCATCTGTCTGTGATAGTATGTGTCTAATTTTTCTAATATTACGTAAATGAAAGAAGGCAGTCCTAGAGGTCTGCTTTATGTGGGAGTTAAATGACAAATCCTGATCAAAGAGAACTCCAAGATTCCTGACAGTGGTGCTAGAGGCCAAGTTAATGCCATCTAGAGTGACTATATCTTTAGACAATGAGTCTCTAAGGTTTTTGGGGCCAAGAACAAGAATTTCGTTTTTTCTGAGTTTAACATCAGAAAATTGCAGGTCATCCAGGATTTTATGTCCTTAAGACATGTTTGTAATTTAGATAATTGATTAATTTCATTGGGTTTGATTGATAGATATAACTGCGTATCATCTGCATAACAGTGAAAGTTAATGGAGTGATTCCTAATAATGTTGCCTAAAGGGAGCATATATAAAGTAAATAGTATTGGTCCAAGTACAGAACCTTGTGGAACTCCATGACTAACTTTAGTATTTATGGAGGATTCATCGTTAACATGTACAAACTGAGTACGATCTGATAAGTATGACTTAAACCAGGTTAGGGCAGTTCCTTTAATGCCAATTTGATGCTCAAGTCTCTGTAAAAGAATATCATGGTCAATGGTGTCAAATGCAGCACTAAGATCTAATAATACAAGTACAGAGACAAGTCCATTGTCAGAAGCAGTCAGAAGGTCATTATTAACTTTAACCAGAGCTGTCTCTGTGCTATGATGAACTCTAAATCCTGACTGAAAATCCTCAAATAAACTATTGTTATGTAGAAAGTCACACAACTCTTTGGCGACTACTTTCTCCAGAATCTTAGAGAGGAACGGGAGGTTAGAAATCGGTCTATAGTTGGCTAAAACCCCTGGGTCAAGAGTAGACTTTTTAAGAAGGGGTTTAATTACAGCTACTTTAAAGGACTGTGGTACATATCCTGATAATAAAGAAAGATTAATCATATCCAGTAAAGAAGTGCCAATTAAGGGAACAACTTCTTTAAGCAGCCTAGTTGGGATCGGGTCTAACAGACAGGTTGATGGCTTCGATGAAGAAATGATTGAAGTTAACTGATGAAGATCGATAGCAGAAAAACAGTCTAAATATACATCTAAGTTTACATTGACAGAAGTCCCTGAACTTGGAGAGCCACTGATAACTGTTGATGGCAGTTGGTGATTAATTTTTTCTCTAATAGTAATAATTTTATTATAGAAGAAGCTCATGAAGTCATTGCTACTTAAGTTTATGGGGATATGTGGCTCGATAGAGCTGTGACTCTCTGTCAGCCTGGCTACAGTGCTGAAGAGGAACCTAGGGTTGTTCTTATTTTCTTCTATTAGTGCTGAGTAATAGGCTCCTCTGGCATTACGGAGGGCCTTTCTATAAATCTTAAGATCATCTTGCCAATTTGAGCGATATTCTGATAATTTGGAAGAGCGCCATTTCCTTTCAGATTTCCTAGCTATTTGCTTTAACTGGCGGGTTTGGTGGTTATACCAAGGTGCTAGTCTCCTATGTTTTAATAATTTCCTTTTTATAGGAGCGATAGAGTCTAATGTTGATCGTAGTGAGCCTGTAGCACTATCGACAAGATTATCAATTTCAGAGGGACTAAAGTTGTTATAGGACTCTGTTAAATTCAGACATGGCATTGAATTAAACACTGAAGGAATCTCCTCCTTAAATTTAGCTACAGCACTGTCAGATAGACATCTGCTGTAGGAAGTTTTGCCTAATGGCTTATAATCTAATAGTATGAATTCAAAAGTTACTAAATAATGGTCAGATAGGAAAGGATTATGTGGGAAGACTATTAAATGTTCAATATCAATGCCATATGATAAAACAAGGTCAAGAGTGTGATTAAAACAATGAGTTGGTTTATTTACACTCTGACAGAAGCCAATTGAGTCTATTAATGATATAAATGCATTACTAAGGCTGTCATTGTCAACATCCACATGAATATTATAATCACCTACAATAATTACTTTATCTGATTTAAGGACTAAGCTTGATAGAAACTCTGAAAATTCAGATATAAAATCAGAGTACGGTCCAGGAGCGCGGTACACTATAACAAATAGAACTGGCTGCAGTGTTTTCCAGTTTGGGTGAGAAAGACTAAGAACAAGGCTTTCAAATGAATTATAATTTAGTTTAGGTTTAGGGTCCATTAAAACGCTCGAATCATATATAGCTGCTACTCCACCTCCTCGGCCTGTGCCTCGAGGAATGTGAGTATTAATATGACTGGGGGGTGGATTCATTTAGGCTAACATACTCCTCGTGGGACAACCAGGTCTCAGTAAGACAAAGTAAATCAATATCATAATCTGATATTAATTCATTCACTAGAACAGCTTTAGAGGACAGAGACCTGATATTTAACAGCCCACATTTCATTCTCTTATTTTGTGCTACTGAGGAGTTGGTTTTAATTTTTATTAGATTTTTATGTTGAACTCCTCTTGTTTTTATTTCTTTAAATAGTTTAGGTGGTCGGGGGACAGACACAGTCTCTATGGGGTTTTGGGTGGGTGACTGTTCTAAAGAAAGCGCAGAGGAGTGTGTAAGACAGCAGCTCTGCTTCCTGGTCCTAACTCTGGACTGTCAGGTTTTAGAGATAAACTTCGCCATATTTCTAGATAAGAGAGCCGCTCCATCCAAAGTGGGATGGATGCCGTCTCTCCTAATCAGACCAGGTTTTCCCCAAAAAGGCTTCCAGTTATCAATGAAGCCCACATCGTTTGCTGGACACCACCTCGACAGCCAGCGGTGGAATGACGACATGCGGCTATACATGTCATCACTGGTCACATTGGGGAGGGGTCCAGAGAAAACTACGGTGTCCGACATTGTCTTAGCATAGTTAGATTCATTGTTAACATGTACAAACTGCGAGCGATCTGATAAATATGACTTAAACCAGCTTAGTGCGGTTCCTTTAATGCCAATTTGATGCTCAAGTCTCTGTAAAAGAATATCATGGTCAATGGTGTCAAATGCAGCACTAAGATCTAATAATACATCTACAGAAAGTGCTAATTTTATAACGTGCTTATTTTTTTAAATATCAAAATACTTTAAATGAGTTTTTTTGCCAGGGCGGTCTCCAGATGCTACGTGAAAAGTTTCGTGCGAACCGGACAAAAGCAAATGGAACACGTAAACTTAGTTGTGGGACATTTCGCTCTCAAGCGGGGAAAAAAAATCTAGGCGGAAATGGGTGTGGCCTATATAGCGAGATGCAGCTCCATTCCCCGAACGCGTGGATATAAGGTATTTGAATGTGAGACAAACGATGCGGGAGTTATTACCCTAAATGCACTTTTCTTAATAGTAACGCCACCTAGTGGCCGAGCCGAATGTCACGCATAGAATATCCAATTTTTCACCAGGCCTGAAAACTTCAAAATAAAATTCATCAGTATATGTTCAGTGAACGATTCCCGCAAATAATAATAACTTTAGCAATGACAATAGGAACCTCACAGTGTCCCTGATAAAATAAAAATAAAAGCAGCAGCAGTGTGAGTTTATACTGAAGAACAGGAAGTGACCTCATACCCATTTCCCAGCATGCACTGGGCCCGGGAACCTTCCCATCAGGACGCTCTCACCAAATCCAGAACACAAAGACGGAGCTACGTTTAAAATATTTTATTTGTTTTAAAATATACATCGTTTACAAATTCAGAAAATAAAATCGTTAGTAGAGTTTAACAGTCTGTAGTTTTTTTATCCTTTTTGTAGTTTTATCTCCGAACAGGAAGTGAAACAAACAATCAGAGGAACCAGAGACAGTTCAGGTGACCCTGAAAGCACCACAGCTGGGGTCAGAGGTCAATGAGCTGAGTGAGTGACAGCACCTGTGGGCGGACCGCGAGGAGGGGGCGGGGCTACAATCAGTCGGTCCTCAGTTCCTCCTCCGGTTCCGGTTCCGCTCCGGTTCTTACAAACATTAATTTGTCCTCAGGTGAGTCCACGTCCTGAATGAAGGACCCGGTAGTCCCCGGCGGCCATGTTGGAGGTCCAGAAACACGTTAGCTAACCAGCTAACCAGCACTGTTCAGTTTCTAACAAATCTGATTACACAGGCTAACACAGTGTTAGCATTAGCACACAGGCTAACACAGTGTTAGCATTAGCATTGGAGGCTAACCAAAAGCTAGTTCAGATGTGTCACTTCCTGGTTTCTCTACTGAATCAGAACATTAACAACTTTAGCTTCTTTCATTACAGCTAGGGTCAGGGGTCACGGGTTAGGGTCAGGGGGTCACGGGTTAGGGTCAGGGGTCACGGGTTAGGGTCAGGGGGTCACGGTCAGGGGTTACCAAGGTTGAGCTAAACTTCGCTAACCTGCTAGCTGAGGTTACTATAATTTTATGACTTGTTTTTGGTAACCATGGTAACATCTCATCTTTTCCTTTTTTAGCTAGTGAGCTACTTTAGCTAGCTGTGTGCCGTATGGCAGCTAACCGATGCTACGAATGTTAGCATGTTAGCTAACTCATCGTAGGAAACCATTTTCCATCATAAACAACATTAGCTCACTCGCTAACAGCTACTAGCATTAGCAGTATAATGATACATGAGCTTTAATTAGCTTTCACGGGTTAGTAACTTGTTTCAGTTGTTAACAGCAGAGCTAGCATGTTTCAGACCCGTATACATTATATATCATATAAATATTATATAATATAAATATATAATTTAATGTTTGAGGTGAATCAGTTCAACAGTTTTAATTTAACGACATCGTTAGCAACAAACCTCGATACTCGGACACAATATCAGAATAACTGAGTGTCCTGATGCAGAAGAGAAAATCAGTTAGTGACAAACTCTCTTTAGGATGCTAGCTAATGAGGCTAGTAGAAGCTAATGAGGCTAGTAGAAGCTTTTATTAGCTTCTATTAGCTTCGATTAGCTTTGAGTATAAATTCTAAGTGCCTGCTAATGCTGCGTTCATGGCATGTCGGAAAAACGTCATGTAAAAACTAATTTGATGACTTGAGTTAAAAATAATGTGAATTAATAATGAAACATTTTATCCAGTAAATCCGGATCAATAACCTTTAACCTTTAGTATGTACTCCATTTAATATTTAAACACACATTCTGAACGTTAATAATACGGTGAGTTAGCGTTAGCGTTAGCAAACATTTAAAATAATATTTAGTCTAAAAATGGAAGTCGGATTTACTGAAGCTGTTAACAAGTCAGAAACTGGAAACTCCCACTGGACATGAACGCAACCCATGTGACAAAATAAGAAATACAGAAAAATAAAAAGTTTTAGTTAAACCTTCAGACTGTACGAAGAGTATTCAGTGCACACAGACCTCCTGATGCATGCTGGGACACAGAACGACTGTCAGAACAATGGAGGACAGAGTACGGTGGCCCACAAGGACAAAACATTTCTATTAAAAGAGTGAACAGTGGTGAAATTATCAGAGAGAATATTTAATAATTATAAATAATAAACACTGTAAAAAAAAATAAAGATAATTTCATGGAAATTTAATTTTTTTTAATAAACTAAAAAAGTTTTTGCCGATTATTATTTTTTGTTGAGGTAATTAGCTTTTTAATTTACTGTTGAAGGATTTTAACCATTATATAACAACAATAAGACTTAATGAAGACAGCTGCCTTGAGTTTTTTACAGTGTAGTATTATTATATTTGCCCCTGTGGGCCACCGTAGAAAACCTTTATATTTCTGCATTTATACATTTTTATTTCACTTCCTGTCTTTTTAAAGTCTTTTATTCAGCCAACGCTACCAACGCTGCTACCAACGCTGCCAACGCTGCCGCCAACGCTACCACCAACCTGCTACCAACGCTGCCAACGCTGCCGCCAACGCTACCACCAACTCTGCTACCAACGCTGCTACCAACGCTGCCGCCAACCTGCCACCAACGCTGCCACCAACGCTGCCGCCAACCTGCCACCAACGCTGCCAACTCTGCCGCCAACACTACCACCAACTCTGCTACCAACGCTGCCACCAACGCTGCCACCAACGCTGCCGCCAACCTGCCACCAACGCTGCTCCCAATCCTGCCACCATCGCTGCCGCCAACGCTCCCAACAACGCTGCCACCAACGCTGCCACCAACACTACCACCAACTCTGCCACTACCAACGCTGCCACCAACGCTGCCACCAACGCTGCCGCCAACCTGCCACCAACGCTGCTCCCAATCCTGCCACCATCGCTGCCGCCAACGCTCCCAACAACGCTGCCACCAACGCTCCCAACAACGCTGCCACCAACGCTGCCACCAACGCTGCCACCAACGCTACCACCAACGCTGCCAACACTGCTACCACCAACGCTACCACCAACGCTGCCGCCAGTGTTCCAGTGTTTCCAGACTTTATGCTAAGCTAGGCTAACCCTGAAATCTGAGCAGGTCATACTTCTTGTGTATTTCTCAGTTCTTTGTTTTATTGTTTATCACTCTGAAGAAGACCATGTGAGCCAGTAAAAAGCTCCAGAACATCTGCAGGTTCTACCTGTTCTGCTGTAATGCGCTAGATCAATAACGTCTGTCTGTGTCCCATCATGCACTCTGACAGCGTACACATCCCATAATGCACCAGGAGAGACTGTGTGCGTCGTGTTTAACTTCATAAACAAGATCAATACTGTTCAGAGAAGATCATTAATTGGTGATTAATACAGAAAACAGATCAATACCAACACATCGATCAGACTTCAAACATGGACACTTTTCAGTACTTTAAAATCATTAAGTTCAGAGCTGATCAATACTCGATCACTTCCTGTGAAAACATGGAGGTTGAAAAGTCTCAAACAAAACTGTTTAGGTCTTCAATCAATCAATCAATCAATCAATCAATCAATCAATCAATCAGTGATCATTGGTCCTTGGTGAGAGTCACAATCAGCGAGCCAACATTCAACCAGTGACCTCAGAGGAGAAAAACAAGGTTACAGCTAAAGTACGGAGGCTCGGGAGGGCCAGTAAACACATTATTAATATTTCTAATGAGATTATCAGGTCTGGATCAATAATCAATACAACTTCAATCTTGGAATCAAGCATGTACAATTTGTTTTAACTTTATATCCTGATATAATGTTTATTTAAAACTGTTTAAAGTAAATAATTTTTTTCACTAAAGAAAAACTAACATAAAATAAATGCTAAAACAAATCAAAATCAATTTATTAGTATTTTTATACTGAAATCTAATCAATCAATATGTTGACAAACAGCTTGCTTTTAGCTGGTGGTAATCAATCAGTAATCAATCAATCAATCAATCAATCAATCAGTAATGGTTACCTTCAAACCATTTAAACATTTTGTTAGATTTTAGTTTGTCTCCAATATTTATTTATATTATTGATAAATGATTACTGATTTAAATCATCAGTTTCTGGCACTAACAGGCCTCCGTAGAACCATGTCTACATGACAGTCATCAAATAAACAACAAATCAAATCCAAACAAAAATAATCTCTTAATAATCAGATCACAACAAAAAAGGTGATAAACCACAAAACAACAACGTGATGGGAGAAGCTCCGCCCCCCTGCAGGTACAGTCAGAGTGGGGGGGGGGCAGAGGTCAGTCAGGGTTAAAGGTCAAACCTCAGACGAAACCAACAAACCAATCAGGTGACTAAATAATAAACACAGCATGACAGGAAATCAATGATTAGTAGAGACGAGAAAATAAAAGTCTGACCTTCGTAGCCCGGCGTCGTACTCGCAACCTCAGAGAGACAGACAGACAGAGAGAGAGAGAGACAGAGAGAGAGACAGGGAGACAGAGAGAGAGACAGGCAGACAGAGAGAGAGAGAGACAGAGAGAGAGACAGGGAGACAGAGAGAGAGACAGGCAGACAGAGAGAGAGAGAGACAGAGAGAGAGACAGGGAGACAGAGAGAGACACAGGCAGACAGAGAGAGAGAGAGAGAGACAGGCAGAGAGAGAGACAGGCACTGACAGTGTGTGTGTGTCTCATCTGTTCTCTTCAAAATAAAAGCTCCCGGTCAGGAAACAAGGCAAAGACGTCCGTAAAGATTTTAGTTGTTTTTTTTTTTTTTTTGCACACACACACACACACACACACACACACACACACACACACACACACACACACACACACACCGATATGGGGCTAATACTGATTATTCAGAATTTCCAATAATCAATGTATTGTAGTTTAATCAGCTGATTGAAGTCTGATGTAATCAGATTACTTTAAAGAAAAGTAACTTTAATTTTAGTTTACCTTTAAAATACTGTTTTATAAGACCAACTGATCAGCTGCTTCATTGATTATCAGCTGATCAATAGAACTGATCGGTCACACACACACACACACACACACACACACACACACACACAGGTCAGGCGGCGAGCTCGGCAGCATACGGTAGAGTATGGCTATATCCTGGATGGGCGTGACCTCTGACCTCTGAGGCAGACGAGTCTGTTGCCGTGGAGACAGACGGAGGCTGAGGGAGCACAGTGTGGGGCGAGCGACCGTCAGTCCAGCAGCGTGCCTTGCTCCTGGGCTCGGGTCAGGCTGTCTTTGCGGTGCAGGTGGTGCACGCCCATCCTCTTCGGGCTCTTCTGCGGCCGCTGCGGGACGGCGGCGAGGGCGGGGTCAAAGTCCAGGAGGCGGGGTGAGATGACGGGCAGGTCGCGGGGGAGGACGTCTCTCTCCTCGGTTGAGCTCTCCCCCTCCTCCTCCTCCAGCTCCTTACTGCGGGCGTCGGCGGGGCTGGTCGCCACGGTGACCGCCGTGTCCCCGCTGCCACCATCATCCTCCAGGTTCATCAGCAGCCTCTCGCCCTCCTCCGTGGAACCGTCGCCACCGTAGCGCCCCCTCCTGCCGGACCGGGGCTCGGTGTCGGTGTCGGTGTCGAGGCTAGAGCCACGGCTCGGCGTCCAGCTGCGCGCCGACGAACCCTCCTCGCCGTCCGAGTACGCGGCCCTGTGGCGGTCGGAGGTGGACGAAGCCCCGGGTCCCGGTGCCGGCCTCCTCCTCTGCAGCTCCTGAGCCGTCTGACTGCTGAAGGACGTCCGGTGGACCACGGAGCCGTCGCAGGATGGCGCCATCTTCTCCACGAACATCCGCTGCCAGTTGGCCAGAAGGTCCTCCTCAGAGCTGCCGGAGCTCGCCAGGACGCTGGGAGCCTGGGGGGGGGCAGGATCAGGTTACTGGTCCTGGTTAGTCAGAACTAAACTAATTCTGATCAACATGATCAGTAAAGATATCAATATCAGAAACTGATGATTAGTGATCGATTACGTTCTCTGTACCTGCGGCGGGCTGCTGAACGGGCTCGACTGGCTGGACAGTGGCTCGCTGGTGGCGTCGCGGTGTGACGGCGGTGTGCGCTGGTGGACGCCCCCACCGGAGGAGGAGGAGGGGGCGGGGCTTCCGGGGGCCAGCCTCTCGTCGTCGTTCTGCACGAGGCTGAGGGAGATGGCCTGCCGCGTGGCGTACGTGCAGTTGGGCAGCGGGGAGTTTTTGGGGATCTTCACTTTGTCGTCGGACGAGAACTCGATGACTTTGCGTCCGGGGTACAGCGGGTGGGGGGGCGGCGGGACCGGGTACGGGTTCAGCTTCTCAAAGGACGGAGCGCCACCTGCCTCCTCGCCACCCGACTGCCCGTCCAAACTGCTCTGACTGCGGCAGGAACCGTTCTGCTGCGCCGCCTCCTGACTGCCGCAGTTCTCCCGGCCGCGGCCGTCGGCCCCCGCGGCCGGGCCCGTCATGTCCACGTGAACGAAGACGTCCTCGGCGACCGGCCGGCCGCAGCTGCTACTGGACTGGGCCGAGTTCAGGACCAGCGGCTCTGGTTTCTCCAGGACACGGGCGATGACGGAGGTCGGCACCACGTCAGCGGGAGTCAGACTGAGCGTGTCCGGGTCCTGAGCTCCGGGGGCGGGGCCTTGCTCAGGAAGGCTGCTCTTCATGTGTTTATTCAGCATTTCCTGCAGCTCATAGGGCAGCTACACAAACACACACACACACGAAATAACAACAACAACAACAACAGCAGGTTCAATACGGCCTGTATGTTACATATAGAATATTATATTATATATGTCTTTGGTCTAATGGAACGATCAATGATCAATAATCAATACACACTGAGGTACTTACATCAGCGAATTTGTGGTTCCTGAAATGTGATTTGTTGCATTTGAGCAGCTGGACGGCGAGATTACAGTCCTGTCTGTAACGCTCCTGAGGACACAGATCAATACACAGTTCAATACAGAGATCAATACGATGATCAATACAACGATCAATACAACGATCAATACACAGAACAATACAACAATCAATACACAGAACAATATAACGATCAATACAGCTATCAATACAACGATCAATACAACGATCAATACAACAATCAATACACACGATCAATACACAGAACAATACAACGATCAATACACAGAACAATACAACAATCAATACACACGATCAATACACAGAACAATACAACGATCAATACACAGAACAATACAACAATCAATACACACAATCAATACACAGAACAATACAACGATCAATACACAGAACAATACAATCAATACACAGAACAATACAATCAATACACAGAACAATACGATCAATACACAGAACAATACAATGATCAATACTTCCTTACCAATGATCAGTCTCCATCTGTAAACATGAACTATACCCTTCTGATAATCGATCAATATATTCCCAAGATGTGCTAACCGAGCCTCGTGCTAACCCAGCCTCGTGCTAACCCAGCCTCGTGCTAACCCAGCCTCGTGCTAACCCAGCCTCGTGCTTACCCAGCCTCGTGCTAGCTAACCTAGCCTCGTGCTAACCCAGCCTCGTGCTAACCTAGCCTCGTGCTAACCCAGCCTCGTGCTAGCTCAGCCTCGTGCTAACCTAGCCTCGTGCTAACCTAGCCTCGTGCTAGCTAACCTAGCCTCGTGCTAACCTAGCCTCGTGCTAACCTAGCCTCGTGCTAGCTAACCCAGCCTCGTGCTAACCTAGCCTCATGCTAACCTAGCCTCGTGCTAACCTAGCCTCGTGCTAACCCAGCCTCGTGCTAACTCAGCCTCGTGCTAGCTAACCTAGCCTCGTGCTAGCTAACCTAGCCTTGTGCTAACCCAGCCTCGTGCTAACCTAGCCTCATGCTAACCCAGCCTATGCTAACTCATTGTAAGAGACTTTTAGCCTCTGAAACTGTAGTTCATGGACGTTTTGCTAGCTTGTGATGCTACAGTTACTTCCTGTTTACATTTCTGAAGGTTTAATGTTTCAACCTGATTACTCAGTTTGAGCTACGTTAGCATAGCATAGCATAGCATAGCCCCGATCAACCAAACTCCATTCAGAAAACAAGCATTTTAAAAGTTGTTCTCGCAGACCGGCCGACACATCATAATGGTGTCGTTATTTCAGCATCAGTTTATTGACATTAAATCCCAGTTCAGAACCAGAATCAGAACTAAAACCCACAAAGGAACCAGAACTAAAACCCACAGAACTAAAACACACAAAAGAACCAGAATTAAAACCCACAAAAGGTACCAGAACTAAAACCCACAAAGGATCCAGAACTAAAACCCACAAAGGATCCAGAACTAGAACCCACAAAGGATCCAGAATTAAAACCCACAAAGGATCCAGAACTAAAACCCACAGAACTAAAACCCACAAAAGAACCAGAATTAAAACTCACAAAGGAACCATAATTAAAACTCACAAAGGAACAAGAACTAAAACCCACAAAGGATCCAGAACTAAAACCCACAGAACTAAAACCCACAAAGGAACCAGAACTAAAACCCACAAAGGATCCAGAACTAAAACCCACAAAAGAACCAGAATTAAAACCCACAAAGGATCCAGAATTAAAACCCACAAAGGATCCAGAACTAAAACCCACAAAGGAACCAGAACTAAAACCCACAAAGGATCCAGAACTAAAACCCACAAAGGATCCAGAACTAAAACCCACAAAGGAACCAGAACTAAAACTCACAAAGGAACCATAATTAAAACTCACAAAGGAACCAGAACTAAAACCCACAAAGGATCCAGAACTAAAACCCACAAAGGATCCAGAACTAAAACCCACAGAACTAAAACCCACAAAAGAACCAGAATTAAAACTCACAAAGGAACCATAATTAAAACTCACAAAGGAACCAGAACTAAAACCCACAAAGGAACAAGAACTAAAACCCACAAAGGATCCAGAACTAAAACCCACAGAACTAAAACACATGAAAGGATCCAGAACTAAAGCCCACAAAGGAACCAGAACTAAAGCCCACAAAGGACCCAGAACTAAAACCCACAAAAGAACCAGAACTAAAACCCACAAAGGAACCAGAACTAAAACCCACAAAGGAACCAGAACTAAAACCCACAAAAGAACCAGAACTAAAACCCACAAGGCAACCAGAACTAAAACCCACAAAGGATCCAGAACTAAAACCCACAGAACTAAAACCCACAAAGGAACCAGAACTAAAACCCACAAAGGATCCAGAACTAAAACCCACAAAAGAACCAGAATTAAAACCCACAAAGGATCCAGAACTCCCACAAAACCCACAAAGGAACCAGAACTAAAACCCACAAAGGATCCAGAACTAAAACCCACAAAGGATCCAGAACTAAAACCCACAGAACTAAAACCCACAAAGGAACCAGAACTAAAACCCACAAAGGATCCAGAACTAAAACCCACAGAACTAAAACCCACAAAAGAACCAGAATTAAAACTCACAAAGGAACCATAATTAAAACTCACAAAGGAACCAGAACTAAAACCCACAAAGGATCCAGAACTAAAACCCACAAAGGATCCAGAACTAAAACCCACAGAACTAAAACCCACGAAAGAACCAGAATTAAAACTCACAAAGGAACCATAATTAAAACTCACAAAGGAACCAGAACTAAAACCCACAGAACTAAAACACATGAAAGGATCCAGAACTAAAGCCCACAAAGGAACCAGAACTAAAGCCCACAAAGGACCCAGAACTAAAACCCACAAAAGAACCAGAACTAAAACCCACAAAGGAACCAGAACTAAAACCCACAAAAGAACCAGAACTAAAACCCACAAAGCAACCAGAACTAAAACCCACAAAGCAACCAGAACTAAAACCCACAAAGCAACCAGAACTAAAACCCACAAAGGAACCAGAACTAAAACCCACAAAGGAACCAGAACTAAAACCCACAAAAGAACCAGAATTAAAACTCACAAAGGAACCAGAACTAAAACCCACAAATGATATGAAATATGAAATGGCGCTCTTCCAAATTATCAGAATATCGCTCAAATTGGCAAGATGATCTTAAGATTTATAGAAAGGCCCTCCGTAATGCCAGAGGAGCCTATTACTCAGCACTAATAGAAGAAAATAAGAATAACCCTAGGTTCCTCTTCAGCACTGTAGCCAGGCTGACAGAGAGTCACAGCTCTATTGAGCCACATATCCCCATAAACTTAAGTAGCAATGACTTCATGAGCTTCTTCTATAATACAATTATTACTATTAGAGAAAAAATTAATCACCAACTGCCATCAACAGTTATCAGTGGCTCTCCAAGTTCAGGGACTTCTGTCAATGTAAACTTAGATATATATTTAGACTGTTTTTCTGCTATCGATCTTCATCAGTTAACTTCAATCATTTCTTCATCGAAGCCATCAACCTGTCTATTAGACCCGATCCCAACTAGGCTGCTTAAAGAAGTTGTTCCCTTAATTGGCACTTCTTTACTGGATATGATTAATCTTTCTTTATTATCAGGATATGTACCACAGTCCTTTAAAGTAGCTGTAATTAAACCCCTTCTTAAAAAGTCCACTCTTGACCCAGGGGTTTTAGCCAACTATAGACCGATTTCTAACCTCCCCTTCCTCTCTAAGATTCTGGAGAAAGTAGTCGCCAAAGAGTTGTGTGACTTTCTACATAACAATAGTTTATTTGAGGATTTTCAGTCAGGATTTAGAATTCATCATAGCACAGAGACAGCTCTGGTTAAAGTTAATAATGACCTTCTGACTGCTTCTGACAATGGACTTGTCTCTGTACTTGTATTATTAGATCTTAGTGCTGCATTTGACACCATTGACCATGATATTCTTTTACAGAGACTTGAGCATCAAATTGGCATTAAAGGAACTGCCCTAACCTGGTTTAAGTCATACTTATCAGATCGTTCTCAGTTTGTACATGTTAACGATGAATCCTCCATAAATACTACAGTTAGTCATGGAGTTCCACAAGGTTCTGTACTTGGACCAATACTATTTACTTTATATATGCTCCCTTTAGGCAACATTATTAGGAATCACTCCATTAACTTTCACTGTTATGCAGATGATACGCAGTTATATCTATCAATCAAACCCAATGAAATTAATCAATTATCTAAATTACAAACATGTCTTAAGGACATAAAATCCTGGATGACCTGCAATTTTCTGATGTTAAACTCAGAAAAAAACGAAATTCTTGTTCTTGGCCCCAAAAACCTTAGAGACTCACTGTCTAAAGATATAGTTACTCTAGATGGCATTACCTTGGCCTCTAGCACCACTGTCAGGAATCTTGGAGTTATCTTTGATCAGGATTTGTCATTTAACTCCCACATAAAGCAGACCTCTAGGACTGCCTTCTTTCATCTACGTAATATTAGAAAAATTAGACACATACTATCACAGACAGATGCAGAAAAACTAATCCATGCATTTGTTACTTCAAGGCTGGATTACTGCAACTCTTTATTATCAGGTTGCCCCAATAAGTCCATTAAAACGCTCCAATTAATTCAGAACGCTGCAGCACGAGTACTGACAGGAACTAGAAAAAGAGATCACATCTCTCCTGTACTAGCTTCTCTGCATTGGCTCCCTATAAAATGTAGAATTGAATTTAAAATCCTCCTCCTCACCTATAAAGCTCTTCATGGTCAGGCCCCTTCATATCTTAAAGAGCTCATAGTACCCTATTACCCCACTAGAACACTACGTTCTCTGAATGCTGGGCTACTTGTGGTTCCTATAGTCTCTAAAAGTAGAACAGGAGCCAGAGCCTTCAGTTACCAAGCTCCTCTCCTGTGGAACCAGCTTCCAGTTGTGGTTCGGGAGGCAGACACCCTCACCACATTCAAGAGTAGGCTTAAGACATTCCTCTTTGATAAAGCTTATAGTTAGGGCTGGATCAGGTGAGTCCTGAACCATCCCTTAGTTATGCTGCTATAGGCCTAGACTATCGGGGGATTTCCCATGGTGCACTGAGCTCCTCTCTTCCTCTCTCTTTCTGCACTCATTCATGTCCCTTTAATGCATGTTACTAACTCCACTTCTTCCCTGGAGTTCTTGTGCTTTCTCGTCTCGCAGGTTCTCATGGATCCTGGTGGAGCCTCCTGCCATGGTCCTGCTTGACTGCCATTGCCAATACTGTTCTCTCTGTCTCTGTCTCTTCTCTCTCTCTCTCTCTCTCTCTCTCTCTCTCTCTCACACCCCAACTGGTCGAGACAGACGACCACCCACCTAGAGCCGGAGGATCTGTCCTAGGTTTCTGCCTTTTAACAGGCAGTTTTTCCTTGCCCTTGTCGCCAAGTGCTTGCTCATGGTGGTACTGTTGGGTCTCTGTAATTAATGTTAAAGAGTTCGGTCTAGACCTGCTCTATTTGAAAAGTGTCCTGAGATAACTTCTGTTATGAATAGGCGCTATACAAATAAAATTGAATTGAATTGAATTGAATTGATATGACTTGACGGAATACATTATGATACTGTATAGTTCAATATAATACAGTTTTCTATATTACTTCATATGGTTGTTTTCATCCAAAAATACAATTAGTAAGATCTTAGTAGAGTAGTAAACAATTTATTATTTTTTACTATTTATTATTATTTAACAGTCTGAACACAGACTGTTGAGGGAGGAGAGAGGAGGGTGGCTGGGGCGCACCTTGGTGTGTGTGTGTGTGCCTGCAGTGCTGTAACAGAGAGCCTCAGAAAAAGAGAAGGGGGGGGTGTTTGTGCCCAACGCTGCTGCTCAGTCTGTGTGAGCTTCAGACCCTAATGAGCGGCACGATGGATTGTTTATTTAAATATCAAGCAAGACCCGAACTGAGCCTTTGATATTGACCATCGGCAATCGCCGAGCAGGCCAATTCGGCGCCCAGGCCACCGGGAAATGTCCCGGTGCTCACAAAGGCCAGTCCGCCACTGGCGGTGGTCTTGACCGGTCTCGTTAAAAAAACCCGAGTCCACCCAGTCCGAGACCGAGACAAGACCGAGTAAAAATGCCCTTGATTCCAAGACAAGACCAAGACCCTCAAAAAATGGTCCACTGAGAATGTTATTTTTCATTTGAATGCTTATGCCGCTGGGACAGTGTGACACGCCGTAAAATTAATGAGCGACATCATTGCGTTGTAATCGATTATGGTCGGCCACTGCATCGATGCAGCATCGTCCATGTCTGCATCGTGATGCATCGATTATTTGATTGTCCGACACCTCTACTCTACATACTCCTCTTGGCCAAGAGTTAAGCTCTCTGAAGCCCTAGTGCCCTAGAGGACATCGTCCTCCTGGCTTTCGAATGCCGGTGATGGCGGAGGTGGTGGCGACTGTCGCTGGGCTGTAGCGAGACCACTACCTGCCCCCCTCACCTAATGGCTGTAATTTCCGAAGGAGAGCCTTAATCTGTGCAAACTCAGAGGTCAAACTGTCCACCTTTTGTGATAGGGCAACCTTTTTACGTTTGCCTGTATTAGGGTCTTCACATTTCTCAGTCCTTCGACGCTTGTGAGGACTTGGAGGTGGAAGACTGTCCCTGTGTGGCGGAGGCCGCTGTGCCCCAGTGGTCCTCTCTATCTGAGCCAGTCTGGCTGACCGCACCGCTAGGCTTAGGCAAGCACAATTCATGCTGCAAGTAGGTAGCCTACACCGTGGTTACCAGCGTGTCACACTGTCCCAGGTGCTGTTATTGTTGACAGTGATGTTAACAATATGATGTAGACAATCCCTTCTATCTTAAGGCGAAATAACTTATTGCTACTATATAGCCTAACGTAGCGCCGTCTGGAGCGAACACACTCCTGTACAGCAATGAATGTCAAGACTGAATATCTCCTTTTGTCTGAGCGAGCACACTCATGCACCACGATTGTCAAACAAAGGAATATCTATTCGACCAGGGGAGCGACAAAAGGTCGCTTCTTAATCAACTCAATTACGGGGTGGCTTGGCTCACGAGCACCCGCCGTCAGTGTGTGTGTGTGTGTGTGTGAGTCTCACTGATGGTGGAAATAAAAGTTTTACTTCCTTTAAAACAGTCGTTTTTTGAATGGAGTTTGGTGTGACAGTGTTGAGCAGAGGGGATTTGAACCTTAATTCCCCTAAACTGAGCTGACCTACCCAGCTAGCTAACTAGTAGCTAACGACTGATAGTTAGCTACCATTTCAATTACATTAGCTAACTTGCTAACTTAAGATGTGACTATAGGGTTAGGGTTGACCGCTGTGACTATATATATATATATATATATATATATATATATATATATATATTCATCATGTGGTTGTCTTTCCAACATAGATTAGCCTAGCACGTAGCATATCTAAGTACAGGAAAGGAAGAAGTTGACCGAGGTTTGCTCAACTTTGATTGGAGGATAGAGCAATGAAGGCGTGGACTCACATTGAGCTCCTCCAGTCGGTCGATGGTGTTCTTGGCGTCCAGCAGTTTGTTGGTGAGCTCCACGATCTCCTGGTCCATTGTCTTTTTGTCCCTCTCCACCTTCCGTAGCTGTGGGAGGAGCAGGAACATCATGTTAGATCATCAACTGTCAGACAGCCAATGAGGAGGCTGAGGCGACAGGAGGCGGGCCTTCATTCAGATCATGTGGGAATAGAAAGTTTAAACTGGTTAGACTCCACAGACGAGCTTCGTTTCTCCGCAGCTTTTATTTCATTTTGTTATTATTTATTTTAAGTTCACAAACTAAAAAGGAGTTTAAATCCTCCATACATTAATATCAAACTTTAGCTGTTCAGATGTTTTAAGTCTCCATTTTCAGTTTTCCCAGATAATGTGAATGCTGCACTTGCTAGCAGCACTTTACAGATGCATTATGGGATGCGGCGGTGTGGCGGCTGCTGCAAGAAGATCAATAAGATCCAATAAGATCTTGATCAAAGCATCGAAGCTCAAAGCTGAAATGTTATCAAGTTCCTTCCAGAGTAATGAGAAATGCTAGCAGCTAACACTAGCTAAGAACTAGCTAAGCTAGCAAGTTAAATGTTTCTGTTAGCGAGGACGGATCAGGAAGTGCAGTTAATGTTCATCTCCTACTGCACATGTGCAGAACAACACTGAGTTTAAAGAAAAACTAGTTTGAATTATTTGTAAAACTACTTTACAATATTTCATACGTTACATAAAGTCCGGGAGGCTAACATTAGCACCTTAGCTCCTGAACTGAAAAATGTGTGCTAGCTGACAGATATCATTGTATTGTTTGTCAGTGGGGAGGAAATTAAAACAACTTTGAAACAAGTACATTTAGCACAAGTGTGCTACACTTAGTTAGTTAGCCACTTAGCTGATGTTAGCATAGCTTAGCCCCACTGTTGAGTTAACGTCACAGATCCCACAATTACGTCCAAAGTCAAAGCTAACATTACTGCAAAGCTTGTGCAATATAATGTCATACTGTGGTTTTAGCTTGCTTGATAACGCAGACAAATTGCTATGTAGCTAACGTAGCGAAATAATGACCCAAACACCGTAGCTTTGTACTGTTACATACCGTAAAACTTCTAATAACCGGCATTATTCGGGCCTTTGTTAGGGGCCAGCATCTATTTGGGACAGGCCTTTAATTCCTAAAACTACTGCTTCTTTTCAGTTTGTTCATTTCAGCTCGTACTCGTTGTCTCGGTGCCGCCACCATGACACTGAACGGCAGCCGGCGTACAGACAGCGAGCAACAGACTGCACATGATAATCACAGCTCGGATTAATTTAATATAACACTTTGTTCTGATGGACCCTGATGGACTAAAGGAATATAAATAATGGAGGAACCAACTGTACGGACTTTATGAGCTGCTGAGTCTGAATGAACGTTAAACTTTAAGTAAACTAACATATCCACTCAGGTGGTATTTTGCTAGCAATAATGTAACCAAACGAGCTGAGATTAGCCAGCCAGCTGCAACCCAACCACGATCAATAACGTTATCCGGCGCCGACCGCCTGCAGCTGGTTTGTCCTCCAGCAGAATCCCATTCATAAAACCATCACAACACATTTATATAGGAGACTAAATACGAGGTCAGGACTTCAGACAGACGCTAGAGACAGCGGAGGAGGAGGAGTAGGAGGAGGAAGAGGAGGAGGAGGAGGAGGAGGTGGTGGTGGTGTAGGAGGAGGAGGAGGAGGAATAATGTGAATGAAACGCAACTGCATGAACCCATGTCTGACTGACGGCAGCCTGATGAAGGGGACGACGATGATGATGAAGATGAAGATGAAGATGGGTGAATCCATCAGAGAGCAGCATGAGAAGAAAGAGGAGAAAAAAAGAGATAAAAGAGAGATGAAGAACGACATCAGACAGAGGACAAAGACAAACAGGAAGTTTGGTTTGTTGTAACAAAATAAAACTTGTGTTTCTGAAGTTCTTTCTAAATGTTTGATATAAATTAAAGTCCTGATATCAATATTCATTAATATATTGATACATTAATTAAAAAATCTTTATTGATCTTGTACCAGCCCTTCATCAAGCTCCCAGCCCGTTAGCTGCTGCTGTTAGCTAAAAGCACGGCCAGAAACTTGGACTCCTGAGTTAGCATAGCCCCAATCAACCAAAGTCCATTCAGAAAACAAGCATTTTAAAAGCAGGACGCCGTTATTTCAGCATCTTATTGATCCGGTTATTGACTTTAAATCAGTAAAATGTGTTTATTCTGAGCTGGAGGTGAAAGTCGCCATTAGACAGACTTAACTGAGCGCGCTCAGTCGGTCTGCAGCAGGTAACCAGATAAAGAAATGTGTGCAAGCTCGTTACTGACGCCTCGTTAATGTCAGCAACAGAGCTGATGAGTAACCGTGGTAACGAGGTCACATGATCCTCTCCGTCTCATCCTGTTTTACTTTGACTCTCAGTGACCTCTGACCCCCTGCTCTGTTGCCCACGCCAACCATCCCGCTGTCCGTCAACTCCACTTTTCCACAGTTAATCAATAGACTGCCTCAGAGTGTGTTTTCATTTAGTCATCGATCAGTTATTGACAGGTTGATCAATGAGCCGCACGCACGCACGCACGCACGCACACACACTGTAGAGAAAACATAAACCATCAGATATTGATCAGCAGCCATATAACATCAACTCACAGACTCATCATCATCAATCTTATTATCAATCTTATTATTATTATTATTATTATTTTTAACTGTATTTAGATAATAATTATGTGTATTTATGTTGATATATAGATTCAATATCAGAACTAACAACAGTGATTGATCAATAATAAATCAGCAGAGCTGTCACGCTGATATCATACAGCCGCAGAAGTCAAAGGTCAGGTGAAGGAGGTAAAAGGTTACCAGAGCGTGAAGCTTCTCCTCCAGATCCTGATTGGCTCTCTGAGACGCCGTGTAGCTGTTCTGGAGTCTGCAGAGAGACGGGAAACGTTATTGTTTTTTGTTCGTGTTGTTTACACTGTCGAGTCACAGACGGGTCACAGACAAGATGAGTCTTAGCAGAGTCACAGACGAGACGAGTCTTAGCAGAGTCACAGACGAGTCAGACAAGTCACAGACGAAAGAGACAAGTCATAGCAGAGTCACAGACGAGACGAATCAGACAAGTCACAGACGAGTCACAGACCAAAGAGACGAGTCATAGCAGAGTCACAGACGAGCCTTAGCAGAGACACAGACGAGTCACAGCAGAGTCACAGACAAGACAAGTCTTAGCAGTCACAGACGAAAGAGACGAGTCATAGCAGAGTCATAGCAGAGTCACAGACGAGTCTCAGCAGACTCACAGATGAGACGAGTCTTAGCTGAGTCACAGACGAGTCACAGACGAGACAAGTCTTAGCAGTCACAGACGAAAGAGACGAGTCATAGCAGAGTCACAGACGAGTCTTAGCAGACTCACAGATGAGACAAGTCTTAGCAGTCACAGACGAGTCACAGACGAAAGAGACGAGTCATAGCAGAGTCATAGCAGAGTCACAGATGAGTCTTAGCAGACTCACAGATGAGACGAGTCTTAGCTGAGTCACAGACGAGTCACAGACGAAAGAGACGGGTCATAACAGAGTCACAGACGAGTCTTAGCAGAGTCACAGATGAGACGAGTCTTAGCAGTCACAGACGAGTCACAGCAGAGTCACAGACGAGACAAGTCTTAGCAGTCACAGACGAGACAAGTCACAGACGTATCAGCTCACCTGCGGAACTTGTCCCTCATCTTGTCCAGGTCGTCTCTGGTCCGGCTGAGCTCCGCCTCCATGTAGTGACGGCTGCCATCAAACTCCGCCTCCATGGCCTCCATCTTGTGGGTGGAGAGAGAGAGGCGGCGCTGCAGGTCCTCATTCTGCTGCTGGAGGATTCTGGGTAACAGGAGGAGAGGTCAGAGGTCACAAGAGGCAGAAAATCATCAAAGTCTGACAGATTATTTCAATAATTATTTCAATTATTTCATTTTTGACTGAAAGGACGAAGACATAACAAGAAATGTTACTTTCATTCTGTGTTGATTCTGGCGCCTCTGGTGGACAAGAGCGGTACTACTGAATCTGACCGATGGCAGAAATTATCAATAATTATACAGAGATGGATTCTATTGATACACTGTATCTTTATGGATTATTGATCAGAATACACTGTATCTGTATTGATGATGTTTAAGTAAAAGTAGAAATACTTCATAAAAGGATCACATATACAATGCCTATAAAAAGTTCGCCCCCCTTGGATGTTTCACCCTTTTGTTTCTTTTATACATGAAATCATGGTCAATATAATTTGGCTTTTTTGACAAGAATTTGCAAAAAAATGGGTTTTTACAAACTAATGTCAATTAATTAAAAATATATAAGGTAAAGAAGACGATTGCATAAATAATCACCCCCTTTAAAGTGACTGACCTAATTCAACAGAAGTCCAGCTAGTTGATGCCAGCAGTGTCACAATTAGTGAAATGGAGATCAGCTGATGTGTGTCAAGTGATTGTAGTATAAAAACACCTGTGTCTGGGAGGTCCAGTCTCTGGTTCATCAGTATTCCTATTACAATTGCAACATGAAGAAAAAAGAACACTCCAAGCAACTCAGAGAAAAGATCATTGAAAAGTACAAGTCAGGAGATGGATACAAAAAGATTTCCAACTCACTGGACATCCCACCGAGTTCAGTCAAATCCATCATTCAGAAATGGATGGAGTATGGCACTTGTTTAAATCTGCCTAGAGCTGGCCGTCCTCACAAACTGAGTGACCAGGCAAGAAGAAGACTGGTGAGGGAGGCCACCAAGACACCTACGACCACTCTGAAGGAGTTAAAAGCTTCAGTGGCTCAGATGGGAGAGACTGTACGTACAACAACTGTTGCCCGGGTTCTTCACCAGTCGAAGCTGTATGGGAGAGTGGCAAAGAGAAAGCCACTGTTGAAAAAAGCTCATATGAAACCTTGCCTGGAATTCGCCCAAAGGCATGTGCTAGACTCTAAGGTCAATTGGAAGAAGGTTCTTTGGTCTGATGAGACAACAATTGAGCTTTTTTGATCATCAGACTAGACGCTGTGTTTGGCGAACACCAAAACACATCACCACAAACACACCATCTCCACCTTGAAGCATGGTGGTGGCAGCATCATGCTCTGGGGATGCTTCGCAGCAGTAGGCCCTGGAAGGCTTGTAAAGGTAGAGGGGAACATGAATGCCGAAAAATATCGCCAAATCCTGGAGGAAAATCTGACTCAGTCTGCAAGAGAAATACAACTTGGGAGAAGATTTACTTTCCAGCAAGACGACGACCCGAAGCATACAGCAAAAGCTACACAGAAATGGTTCAAAGACAACAAGGTGAATGTTCTGGAGCGGTCAAAGCCCAGATCTCAATCCAATCGAGAATTTGTGGCTGGACTTGAAAAGAGCTGTTCAAGCCCGATCCCCGAGCAACCTGACAGAGCTTGAGCTGTTTTAAAAGGAAGAATGGAGAAAAATAGCAGTGTCCAGATGTGCCAGCCTGTTTGAAACATATCCACACAGACTCAGTGCTGTAATTGCAGCCAAAGGTGCATCTACTAAATACTGACCTGAAGGGGGTGAATATTTATGCAATCATCCTCTTTACCTTATATATTTTTATTAATTGACATTAGTTTGTAAAAGTCCGTCTTCACTTTGATATTAAAGAGGTTTTTTTTGCAAATTCTTGTCAAGAAAGTGAAATTATATGGACCATGATTTCATGTATAAAAGAAACAAAAGGGTGAAACATCCAAGGGGGGTGAATTATTTTTATTGGCATTGTATATGTGTATATATTGATATACTGATCACTAACAGTATATAGACTGATACATTGATCAGCATTAACACTGAGCACTGGACTCCCTGACTGGTCCCAGACCAACAGACTGCTCTGCACTGTGTGTTCTGAACCCTTTCTATCAGAACCAGCATTAACTGTTTCAGCAGTTTGAGCTACAGTAGCTCGTCTGTTGGATCAGACCACACGGGCCAGCCTCCACTCCCCACCTGCATCAATGAGCCTCGGCCCCCCATGACCCTGTCTCTGGTTCTGTTCCGTCCTTGGACAACTTTTGATAGGTACTGACCTCTGCAGACCGGGAACCCCCCACAAGCTCTGACCCAGTTGTCCATCACAATGTGGTTCTTGTCAAAGTGGATCAGATCCTCACGCTGCCCATTTTTCCTGCTTCTAACACATAAACTCTGTTTATTGTCTGCCTGATATACCCCCCCACTGACAGGAGCCCTGATACCCAGATAATCAGTGTTACTGGCAGTGCTCACTGTGTTAGTGCTGATCAGTGTATATATGAGAATTTAGTGTCTCACCTGATCCTGTCAGAGTCTGATAAAGCCTCCTGAAACAGAAAAAACACAGTCAGAACAAATAGGAAACGTAACAAAACGTATAACTTATTGATCTCATTATTACATTATTGTTGATGAAACAGTCAGCAATAATGTATATAACTATGTAATATAACAGTATATTCAGTTCGTATGAGGCTGATTTCTGACCAGTTAACCAAGTTAAAGTTATTCCACTCAAAACTCTTCATCATTCAAACATTCGACTGTAGGAACAACGAAAAAAGTCACTGCCGAGTCACTGCCGAGTCACTGGAAGAAAACGCCAACTCGACACAGAAAGGTTCTCCCCCAGCCGGGAACCGAACCTGCGACCTGATTATTTATTATCAATATGTGACGCGCCACGGAAAAACCAGCAACAAGTCGGCTGGGAGGAATTCACATAAACAAAGAAACTATCGTTTTTTTCAAAATTAGTGATTTTCGTTTTTTTTACAGAATGTGCAAGTTGAGATCATGAAGAAGATAACAGTATTGGTTGCCTTAAAAGTATACATTTTGTGTTTGAAATCGGGTATAGTTTCAGGAAAGGCTGGCGCTTCGTTGGGCGTGTCCGGCGATACAAGTAATTTCCATACTGGCTACCTGTGACCATTCACGTGCTTTTGTTATTTTTTTCGGCCAATCAGGGGCACGTTAGTAGCGAACCACATGGCTACTTATGTAGCCCCCAGCATAAATTCTGCTACTAAATCATGGCTGTACTTTAGCGAGACGCCGGATACTTCTGGTTTTTCCGACGCCGATTTCACTTCTGATTCTGATGAGTGCACTGACGATGAAAGCAACTGTATTACACTGGAGAACATCCCTAATCTACAGCTGACCTTAGCCGAAGATGAAGACGAGGAAGAATCTCTCGGCCTCGCACCAGAGGAGCTGGAGCGTAAGATATCAGACGCTATATCTATGGTAACATGTGAAGGGGATAAAGACAGAAATGGAGAAAATCCGTAACTGACTGCAAATGCTACAGAAGAACAAAGGAGAACTCTCTCATTGGGACACATTCATACAGCGACAAACTTTCTCCAGAGCCTATGTACAGCCAGACGAAGAGAAAGCGCCCCCGGACCACTTATTCCATCGCACACAATGCAGTCTGCAGGAATACTTTTCAGTTTCTTATGGGGTGAGTTTCCATTAACATCCAAGTTATCTACTTTGTGTTATGTGTTCATTCAAAGTTGCAGTCAAAGTCACAGGGATTACAAACTGTTATCTCATGTTTTCTGTTTTCATGTTTATACCTTAGTACTGAGCTAGCTAATAACAATGTAGGCTGTTGTTTTAAAATGATATGCACATCGAAACTAAGCTGTAATGGGAGGTTTTGGCTAGTAATGTGAGCATCTGCTGTTAATTTGAATAATGCTTGAATTGCTTGAATTGACTGTGATGCAAATGCTTTAGCAACTAGCTTACTGGAGGAACAGTTTGGATGAATACACCCAGAGTCAGGTGACATGGTGACAGTCTTCCTGTCCTGGCCCCACCTGGACTGAACATTGACAGGCAGACCTATCTTTATGAAAAAATCAGGCCTTTCTATGCTGACGAGGCAAGAGACATCACATGCCCAGCACCAAGGGTCACAACACAGAAGAGTCCACAGAAGAGGATGCAGATGTGATATCACCAAATAATTTGACTCTCCTTCACACCCTCTCCACAATGTGCTGATCAACCACAGGAGCTCATTCAGCAACAGACTGATCCATCTACACTGCACTTCTACATTTCAATATCAATTTAATTTCACTTATAGAACACCAAAACAATACACATGTCTCATGGCGCTTTACAGAGTTTTAAACAGATGTGGTTGTAGATGTGTAGATGTGGTTTATACCTTGGATTATCGCACAAGGGATTGTAACATCTTATCCTGTGTATTAATGAATGATATTCAGGGTGTTTTGTAATAAAAGCATTTCCATTTCAATAAAGTACCTTCTAATTCTGATCAGTCCACTAAAGTGCTTAAGGAAAATAACACTACATCAACATTAACTACATGATAACTGCTTTTGATAACCATTGTTGGCTAACAGATACCAGATGTCACTGAGTGCAGGGGGTAGGGCTTATCTTAATGAGATGCAAATGAGCACCATTGTGTTGACTAGGGAGGGGGTAAGAATTTCCTGAGGTGAGAATTGCAAATGTTGTAGGGCTGTTTTCTCCCTAAAGGGTTTTGAGATGTGCATACATTCAAATGGCCACAACTTCTTCAAATATTATCAGATTTCCATGTGTTAGACATCATTGGAGAGCTTAGAAACTACACTTTCAGAATCTGTAAATAACTCAAAATGCCTCTCGGGAGACTTGTTGCTGGTTTTCTCGTGGCTGGTCACATATTGTTAAAACTATGAATCAAACTAATTTTTTTTATGTATCAATGAGACTATGTTTGTTTCCTGTAAAAATCCTTTGTTTGTAACAATGAGCAGAACAATGTTGTGATGTGTTTTAACAAGTGAAAACTGTAAATGACACAAACAGGAAGTGTTTTTATTTATATTATTGATTGATTACCTCAGTGACCGTGAGGAAAGAGTGCTCAGATGACGACATGTGACAGTGATGTCAAGTCAATGAAGCGCCATCATAGAGACGGACGGATGTTTCCTCTTTATCGTCTGTCTCATCGATCTCTGTGGACGTATGGAAACACGTCCTCTACCAGCATGCAGCTGGGTTTTACTTGATGGATCCTCTCAGCTGATCGATCGCCTACAG